TGGTCCCTTCCGGTACAGGCAACCTCACCTTGGCATTCCGTATTGTGCACTAGTCTTTGTTGCAACTGCTCTGGTGCTTGAATTTGCCAGTGGATGACGTGGACAGATTCAGCCTGGTCTTCCCCCGAACCCTGCCAATTGTATGTCCGTGGGTAACTTTCCATGGCCTGTTCTGGGCTATTTCCTATCATGTTTCTTGCGCTTACCTGCCGGGTCTGTGTCCTGCCAGAGAAGTTGCTCAGGCTTCTCCATCAGAACCTCTCCCAATGCCAGGTTTCACGCTTACCAGTGGGTTCATAAGCCAGCCCTACTCAGTCCACCTCCTGTCATAGCAGGAACAGTGGCTTTTCCTGACTGGCCTTCAACCCAAGCTGGTTCTTGTTGTTGGATGTTTCAGCCCAGCCATGGCTCTCCATACCCACATATAGCTTCATACATGGCTCAGTAGGGGTTTGAGACCTTGCCTAGTCCATCATAAATCTATCCCGGTCCTCCAGGACACCAGAGGGTGTTGGGGTCTGGCCTGGTTTGGTGCATCCAATCCCAGTCCACACTTGTGTCAAGGGAGACTACAGCTGTTTCCAGATCAGAACACAGCCCCCATTCCAGGTTACACGCCCCTTGGTGGGAACCTCAACCCAGCTAGGGTTGTCCCCTTAGCTCCCCAACTGGGCCTGTTCCCAGCCATAGATCACATGCATGCCAGTGGTTGCTCTGACTCAGCTTGGCACAGCCCCTCACCTTTCCTGACCTCTGCCTTAGACACTGTGGCTTAGCGTTCCTGGCTCACGCAGACCAGTAGGTATAAGAGCCTAGCTTGGTATGACCTGTGCTCTGTCCTGGTCTCTAGTTTTGCTTGTGGGCTAAGGTTTGCTCAGTCCTGCCTGATCTACCCTGTTCCATTACCAATTGACACATTTGCCAGCTGTTGGAGCTACTTTGCTCAGCTTGGCCGACTCCCAGGTCTGGACCAGATGTTCACGAGCGGGAGCTATGACTCACCAGGGGAGTTTCCCAAGTTCCTCCACTTAATCCACTCCCGGACCCAGTTCTCATACATGCCATTGGGTATAGGCCAGTGCCCGTCGCAGTCTGGCCTTCCATTTGGCCTTCTATGAGCTGGTGAACGTTGCAGCCTAGCCCACCCCAGACCCTAATCAGGATGCACATTCGGGTGCTTCTGCCTTGACCAGTTCAGACTATTGGGGGTTCCTTTACCTGTGATTGATGGCAGGCTCCTTGATCACACCTAGCTTAGTCCATCACCACCTCAACTCTTGAGATAACCAGTGGGGCTAGAATTTTCACAGGATGTGGCCCACACATCCCTCACAGAATTTACCCCCGGTTATGGTTCTTGAGTGCTAGTTAATGTAATGGCCCTGCTTAATGTGACCCTTCTCCTGATCCATCATCATGTCAGGTAACATGATATAAATCTGCAGGACAAGCCCCAAGCCATAATTCCTGCATGGACTGGTATTTGGTGGTCAGCATTGTTCAGTGATTACAAGTTTTACAAAGGAAGAGTTACTGCCAATGGGAATCTTTATGATTGCTTCACATCCTAGAAGCACAATGGGTTCAACTTGGAGCTAGTTAAGCAGCGATTCAAAGAACCAAAACCCCAGAGCTTCCTGGCTGGGCGGCCAGTAGGCAGATCCTGGCACCAAATGGGCGCACTGGGCGCCCAGGGACAGCTCACCACGTGCACATGGTGGCTGTCTTCTGGGATCCAGGCATGAGACACCCCGTCCTGAGACCCACCAGCAGCCGGGAGGCTGCTGGAAGTTTAAACTCCCAGGCCCAAGGTCGCGCCCCTCCCCAATCCCATTCACCACCCAATGAAGGCGGTGGATGGGTCCTGGACCTGCCCAGTCACGGAGACCTCCCCGCTCAGTGTACTCACCCCGAAGGGAGCAGCCCCCGGAGCCCAGGCAGGCCCAGGGCAGCTCACCATGTGCACATGGTGGCTGTCATCTGGGATCCAGGCATGAGACACCCCGTCCTGAGACCCACCAGCAGTCGGGAGGGTACAGTAAGTTTAAACTCTAAAAAAACATTTTTAAAGCCTATTTCTTTTAAGGATGACAAAGAAAGACGGAGAGACAAAGAGATCAGTATATTTATTGGCAAACTGCTTGTTCACTGCTCAGAAAAACAGTGAGTACTGTATCAAGGGGAAGGCAGACACAGGGAACTCCATCTAGGGCTTCCACACATGTGGGCAGTGTCCAAGCACTTGGGTCCCTTCCATTGCCCTTCTAGGTTTCATTAGTCAGGAGGCAGATCAGAAGCAAAGCAACCAGGAGTTGAACTAGCACTCCAGTATGGGATGCATAACACTGCTGCACCACCAACACCAGTCCCTGTACATCCAATCCTTTATCTCCAAAATCTCAGCCCTTTGAATTCTCACAGCCTTAAAAAACACACAATGTCTTCCAATGAATTTTGTTGGAATTTTATCTCATTTCCCAAAAACTTTTCCTAGCAGGAGGTTTCTGATAAATCTAGACTTTCATAGTCAGACCTTTTATATGGAATCTAATGACATTAGCCAACTTTTTAAAATGAGATTTTAATTGAAATGTTATTGTGTATGTATGTATGTGTGTGTACATGTACTAAGGGAAAATTGATGACAACAGCATAACATTAAGACTTTATGAACATGGTATATCTTCTTTTAGGTCTTTTTAAATGTCTCATCACTTTTTAATTTTCTAGTATATCTCACCTAGCATATCTTCTAATGTATTCATAATTACTTTACTTTTATATTACCATTATTACTTAAATGCTAATATTATTTGTATTTTCTAGTCAGTAATAGCGAGATAAATTTTGTTACTGCCTATAATTTAACTATAGATAATTTTTGCATTTTGCGGACAACTATGAAAATAATTAACACCATTTCCTCATTTTTACTCTTAACAAATTCCTAAAATATAACCTTAGTACTGAGTGTGATGTCACATTTTTAAGATCTCCAGAACAATGCAGAATATAAATCACGACAACCTTTGTCGTAGTCCCGATCTTAGTGCTAAAAGGAATGCTTTCAACATTCATCATAAAGTATAATGTTTGCCGGAGGGAAGAGAAGATGTTGGCAAATTTCCTTCATCATGATAAGGAATTAAACATTGCTTTATATTTTACTGAGAAGTTTTGTCATGAATGAGTGTTAAGGTTGAAAAATTTTATGCCTCTATTAGAACATGCCAAGTTCCTTTTTCTCTGTTATCATATTAAATTACACATATGGTTTTAAATATCTAATTTTTCATGAACTAGATACCGCTTGATCATAACATGATAGTTTTTTAAAATGCTGCCAAGCTTATTTTAATAGACTTTAAATTTATATATTCGTAACTGAATTTCCTATGTTATATATTGTCATCTGTAGAAATACTGTTAGACCAATCCTATAAAATGAAAGGAAGTGTTTTCTCTTTTCTATTCCATGGAAGAATTTGTGTGAGACTCTAAGTGTATTTAAATATCTAGATGAATTTCTTGTATCAGTCTTCAATAAAGGAAGTGATTCACTGGATATTAGATCACAAGCAATTTATTATAGACATTGACCTTTATAGAATTACAAAGGGAGCTGGGAAAAACAAGCTCCAGAAAGAGGACCTGGAGGATCTGAGTTTCCTAATCAGCATCCCTGCCACGATGCAATACAGGGAAAGGTTGGGCATTGGCAGTGAAACTTACAAAGCCAGGCACTTTTGGCTTCTTACAAGGCATCATGAAAAGGACATCATTTGGAAATCATGGCTAATGGGAAGAAGTGGAATCATATGGTTTCAAAAAATTCAATGTTCAAAGCTTTCTTTGGGTGCTAGAAGAGAGAACAGAATGCTCATTTTAGAAGGTAATATTTAATCAAAAGGAATTTCAATCAGGTAATGTGCACATGAGACCCTGAGGATTGGGAAATATATTCAGTCTGGAAAACATGCAAATCAAACACTGTAGGTGAAAATGCTCTTTTTGTAACCCTAGAATTTTAAAGAAGGGAGAATATTTCTGTAGAGATGTGGAGCTGCAAGAAGTGAAGATGTCATCTGGGGATGACTTGTTGCTTTGTTGCATTGTCTTCAATCTGACCAGGGAGCCGACTGGATAGCCTGGGCAGATTTAACATGGTGACAGTTTTTAATGGTATCTCACTCGTCAAAAATCTCAAAGTACATAGGAAATTTCTGGTTCAAATATACTGGTATATTATAAGTGCTTGCCATATCATATCATTTCCTCAGTGATTTTCAAACCCATAAAAGAAGGTTGTACTAAAGGACAAAAACTGTAATCTAAACATTTAAAGTTTCATTTCACTCATCAGAAATAAAAGACAGGTCTTCTGATCCTTCACGTTATCAATTATCAATCAAAGCAAAACTGAATACAGGAAAATCTAAAGTAGCTGGCACAAATGATGTAACATTTGTAGATCTCAAGTCATCCTCCCCATTGCCATGACGAAATCTGCAGCACAGTTTGGATAAAGTAGTCATTTCAAAGCATGCATTTCAATTCCTTTTTATTCTCTGTTCTGATGTAATCAAAGTCCAAGTCATTTAGGAGAAGTAAAACATAAAAGGCAAGTGAAGGGACTAGTTCATGTATTAACCAAATCTCAATCCAAAGTTATTGTAATAGATAGACTGTGTCATCTATTGTAACAATGCCCTCACTGTAAGAAAAATGATAAATTGGAACACTGTGTGAAGTTTTACTTTATGATGTTGTAGTTTTGAAAAAAAAAAAAAGGTTATAACAACAAGCCTGACAAAACCATTTGGTTCAAGTCTAATATCTCTTTTGATCACAATTGCTTTCATCAAGTAAACAATAAAATATTTGTTTTATGCTGACTTTATCTTAATAATTAAAGAAATTAACTATAATCCATGACAAAAAATAAATAGATCAGGCTGTGTATTTACAACCTCATACCAGGAAACAGGTAGAAAATTGCATACAAACACACAGTGGGAAAATTCAGTATTTTCACTGGAGAAGACATGGTGACAATTGACAGTAATGGCAGGGAAAGTCTCTTGGGTAATATTTAGAAGTTAAATCTTTCCAAAGATTTTAAAATAGAAAAATTAAGCTGTTTAACTTTGAGGAAATTGGTTCACGGATTTATCACAATTCATTCTGCAAAGTTACTAGCAGGGACCAAACTGAAGATCAGTTAAAGATTATGTTGTAACTTAAAAATGATATTCCAATATTTCCATCTAGTTGAGCTAAATGGTCTGACTAGATCAAAAGCTTGCTTTATAACTGACCAAAACCATGGAACTGTCTGTTCTAATCCCATTCTGAGCCTACACGAAGGAAGAAAATATCTATATTTACTATCAAAGACAGCATAGCTTATAAAGTACTATTGCACCAATTTGGTTTTTAATGCTACCAGGTGGTTCTCTTGGTTACTTTAATTTGAATATCTGCCGTGAGATTGCCTGAAAGAAGAAACAAAAGCCTAATCATGCATCTATGTCCAGATTCCTGGATAATTGATTGGTTGTAGAGGATATGAACCCAGTATCTGTAGATTTCCTAGACAATTTATAAGGAGCCATACTACCCACATGTGTGGTTTGTTCCTCTTGGCCTTCCTTATAATTCCAGCTTTTCACTGTACTGGTTCCACCTGGTATGATGAATCTGAGGCCCTTTGCTACCATGATGGATTAGCAGATGAGAAAAACTGGAGCTTATTAACTCCCACAGCAAGGGACTGTGCCCCATGCGAGGGAAGATGCAAGCTTTGCTCCATTAGCTGGGGACCATTCCCCTGAGCACAGGATGGTAGAGTCAAGCAGTCTGGTTCCATGGTCACTCCAAGTATCTGGGGCTCCTTCCCCGCTGGAATCACTTGTATTGATTCTACCAAAAAAAAAAAAAAAAGAATTTTCATCATTCACAGTGGTCAGCAAGAAATATCTTAATAGTGGTGGTTGCAGAAGAGGCCTGAAAAGAGAGAAATGGGAAAATTCTCATTTCCCATTCTCAAATTACTCTAGAATAAATTTTAAATTTTTAAAATGACTTTGACTGGTTGAGCTGATTCAAAAAACTTAACTGTCTGATACTATTCTTTAGCTTCCCTAAGCAACTCCTATATCCCACCTGATCCCTAAGTGATATATGAGCCGAACTCCAGTTTCAAATTATGGGAGCCAGTGTCATGTGATAGTGGGTTAAGCCATTGCTTGCAACACCAACTCCCATATCCAAGTGCTGCTCCATTCCTGAACCAGTTTCCTGTTTTGCCTAGAAAGGCAGTGGAAGGTAGCTCAAGCACTTGGGCCCCTGTCTCATATATGGGAGACCTGGAAGAAGTTTCTGGCACCTGGATTCAGCATGCTCCATATCTGTCTGCTGAGGTTATTTGGAGAATGAATCAGCAGATGGAAGATCTTTCTGTCTCTCCTTCTCTCTGTAAATCTGCCTTTCCAATAAAAAAAAATCCTTTAAAAAGAAAGTAAAATACTGGCCACAAGCTAAATATGATTATTCTATTCCCAAGTCTACCTCACTCTTTCAGGCACATTAGAAAGGAATTCAAATAGAAATGAAGCAGCTGAGACTTGAACTGCTGCCCATAAAGGATGCACAGTGTTATAGTCCACAGCTTAACCCACTTTGCCAAAGCACTGGTTCCTCTGTTGTATTTGATAGAGTCAGTATTACAGCACCAGCAGATTTCCTTTAGGACTTACTTTAGGAAACAGCAAGAATATATAAAAGCTATTTACATGTAAAAGATAATATAGTTTTATGTACATAACCATATAAATTATAGCTTTTATATTTAATCCTTAGGTATACCTTAATACTCAGGCCTCCCTTACATTAGGCCATAAAATTCTACCAAATTTATAACTTTAGATCACAAAATCATATATGTACAAGGGGGTATTTAGAGTGAATTTTTCAAAACAAGAAGCCCATGTTCTCTTTACAAAGGAATCTAAGGAGGGACAATAATAAAAACATTGATAAATATCAACAGATAAAAGTGTAATTAGTATTTCATTAGCTCCTTTGTTTAGCAGAGAAACTGTTTCTGTTGGCTCAAAGTTTCTCTGAACCATACCAAAGGTTTATGGAATTAACTGTGACCAATAATATCCTCTGGATTGTGAAATTAAGCTACAATAACTGAGACCCAATCCAAGAGATTGATCAAAATTGAACTGTTGGCAAAACTATTATGTCAAAGGTTATCTGACTCCATTTCCACCTGTAGCAAACCACATTCCAGAACAGTATGAGAATCCAGGCAGATCTGATAGTCTCAAGAAATGTTTGGTTGGACCTCCTTGGCTGGACCCAGGGGTCTAGCTGAGGTCTGAAATCCCCAGAACAACTAACAAAACAACTTAAATTTACAGGCACCCTTCATTCTAGAACACAGAGATTTTTTAAAGAACAATTTACAGTTGCACCAGAGCCATGTTTAACAGCTACCAACGCAGAACTCCCAAGTTCCAGGAGTGATCCTACAGTGATCCAGGAGACTGCTATAGGACAAGAGTGTTGAGTCAACCTGGAAACCTCACAAAAGACAGAAAGCTACTCCAAGGTTCTTTTCTAAAGCTCCATGCATTCCAAAACAGCCCAGCTGCTCACACATCTTAGACATCTTCACTACTGTCTTTCTAGTTAGACGAGAGTTTTCATCGGAAGACCTCAGGTCCCAGATAATCACTCACCTGGCTTCAGGGAGGACACGTGGCCAACAACTGCTTCCTGGCCATCTGGGCCGGCCACAGGCTGACTCCCCTGCCTGAAGTCCTGCTGTTCCTTTATGACCACAAACTGCAGAAAACAAAAAAGGTAGGGATATGTGGCACAGTATCTCAACACACGTTAAATTAAAGACTGTGGCTTCATCATGTTCATCCTAGGGAAGTTAGAAGTTAGAAGAAAGGTCCTATCAAATGTGTCAGACTTCAGTTAATAAAAGGTTACATTTCCAGTGATCAAATTTCTGTTATTTTTTTCTGTTACATTTTATGAAAGCCAATAGACTACCAGTATTTTCTCTAAAGAATCGATTCTGAAATGTCAACTTTGGGTCATGGATTCTTGGGGACTCCTGTTTTATTATAAGTAACCCACTACTTCCTAAGTATTTTGAGCATATTTTGAGCTCACAAACAATATCACATGTATGTCTATGCTATCACGTTTAAGAAGATGTCATATTTTAAGTAATGAGTCATTTCCATATACCAGTAAATTCTGAATAATGAGTCATTAATAGACATTCTCAGGACATTGATAGTACAGTCATTATTTGGTAAGCAATCTGCCTAATATTTTTGTGTGTTTGAATAGCTTGGGAACCAGAATCCTGACAGGGAGCCCTAGGAAAAAATGTCATTTCTCAGAATAATTTGTTTTTGTCATTATTCATATTGTCTCAAATTGGGCACTTGCAATGCAAGCTGATCACAGTTTATTGGCTCATACTCACTTTAGAGATATAAGGTATCAAAGCAATAAATGACAAAAGGAAAGAAAACAAGGGAATCCAGGATACAGGACACAGGTTGGTGAAGTCCCTCCCTGTCAATCAGCAACCCTGAGGAAGGACTTCCCCGTGGTTTTAGCTGATTGAACTCCACTGGTTCAGAAGAATGGGCTATGAACAGGAGATAGCCTACAGCTCCAATGGGTAAAAGGAAAGAGGGGGAACCATCTTTTGACTACATTTCTGTATGGGCAGATTGCATGAGAGGACGGTGGATGGATTCAGATGGAGGGAGGGAAATGTTGGTCATGGGAAAGCAAGGCCTATGAGCATATTTTTCATTTTCTGGTTTCCAACATTAACTTCATTACCTCCTCATTAGCATTCCTTCAGCCCCTCCTGCTTAGAGGCCTCCCTGTAGCAGCACATGACTTCACCGATGCAAGACCTGTGGCTTAAGAGCTCATGCCCGTTATTTCCGGTTCCAGTTAGAATCCACCTTTACTGCAAACTGTCCAACTCTGAGATTCTCTGCATCAAGAACACGGGGCCGAGAACTCTGGGCTGGGACGAGGAGGGCAGCTGCTGGCACTGGATTTGTTTCAGCTGTCTCTTCTCCCAGTCTAGGTATTTGGTTTGTTCTTACTCATGTCAATTTCTGTTGTAGCAGCTGCTGTGGACATTTTATGATGACTACGAGTGTGAAGTTCATTAGCCCCAGGGTCTTTTAACAGTTCTGGGCCAGTAAGTTGCTCATGTCAACAGCAAATGATTTGGATTTAAAAACAAACAAGAACCACACACACACACACACACACACACACACACACACACACACACAGAGTTTCTTCTTCTTTCCTGTGATGTAAGTAAGATGAATTAAAATCTACTAACCAAGCCTTGAAAGAAATACCTGGTAGACTGACAAAGGCACTGTGGGTTAATTGAAGTCCACAAAATTATGAGGTTTCAAAGAAGAGAGCCCATTCTATAGCTACGTCCCTTATAATCACACACACATGGAATTTACAGAGACAGAAAGGAGCTTAGAAGTCATCCAATCTGGAGTCTGGCATGGTAGCCTAGCAGCTAAAGTCCTTGCCTTGCATGCACCGGGATACCATATGGACGCTGGTTCATGTCCCAGCGACCCTGCTACTCATCCAGCTCTTTGCTTATGGCCTGAGAAAGCAGTCAAGGATGGCCCAAAACCTTGGGACCATGCACCTGCAGGGGAGACCCAGAAGAGGCTTCTGGCTCCTGGCTTTGGATCACTATATCTCTGGCCATTGCAGCCAGTTGGGGAGTGAACCAATGGACAAAAGATCTTTCTCTCTGTGTCTCATTTTCTCTATATTTTCCAGTAAAAATAAACAAATGTTTAAAAAAAGAGAGAAGTCATTTGTTGTACTGAAGAGGCTGCAGTGTCTGCAGAGGTTAAAGACTTGGCTGAAGGTTAGGATTGTCCATATGGGAGAGGCAAAGGCTGGAACTCACATTTGTTATCTTAACTTGTATACTCAAACTCAATCAAAAACTAAGTCAACACTGAGCGTTTATAAGAGGCAGGAACAGAGAGTCGCTTGTTAGCCAGAAGCGGAAGGCACAGGGTGGTGGGAGGCTCTGAGGAATTGGTGAAAGGATTTGGGAAGGATTCCCAAATATTTTGTGTTTGCCCATCCCTAACTTTCTAACAGCTCTTTCTTTACGGTTCCAATTCCCCATGGATCCGTTATGTGTGTAGGCCTCTCCTACAATATACACCACAGAAAATACCAACACTGCCCAAGAAACCAATCAAGTTACCTCTCTGACAGAATTCTGCAAATTGAAATTCCCCAAGCACTTCAAGAGAGTTTAACTTGTCTCACGTCTGCCCCCTAGCGTACTGAAAGGTGATCTATGGAAGCATCTTGACCTCTGCCCACCGCAGTTTTTGGGAAAATATATAGGTTCCCTAATTAAATACAGAAAGCCCAGTTAAATCTGGATTTGGATTTAAACTGAAATTTTATTATTAACACAAAATAAGCACACATATTGCATTCTTATTTGCTGCATCTAGCAACTATTTTATTACTTAAAGTTTAAGCACTGAAAACATTTGTGAGAAAAGCCAACCATGGTTTGAGAAAAGCCCTTGGATTCTGTATCCATGGATTCAACCAACTATGGACATAAAATGTCATTAGGCTACTAATGGTTATGTTTGTGCTGAACAAGTATAGATGTCATTATTCCATAGGGAACAAGCATAACAACTATTTTCCTATCACTGACATTATATGAGGTAATTTACATAAATTATAGATTGGGATGAGCATAGGCAATATGCAGCGCCATGCTATTTTAAGTAATGGATTTGCTATTCAAGGACATTCGTATGTATGGGTGAAGTGGTTCTCAAACCAATCCCCCTCAGATACCAAGGAAGGACTGTATTAAGAAGGTAAGAAGCATTGTATTGTTGTTGTTGTTTTTTAAGACATTAACCCGGATCCAGTACAATGCATATGAGGTTATTCTGCCACCTAAAATGCCAGCATGTTTGTTGGGCACCTGTTCTTGTCTTGGCTGCTCCACTCCCAATCCAGAACTCCCTTTGTATGGCCTGGAAAAGCGGTAAGGATGGCCCAAGACCTTGGGTCCCTATACCCATTAGCAGGCTGGGAAAAAGCTCCTGGCCCCCAGTCTGATCAGCTCAGCTCCAGCCATTGCAGCCATCTGGGGAGTGAACCAGTCGATTCAAGACCTCTCTGAGTGTCTCTCCTTTTCTCTCTGTAAAAATCTGCCCTTAAAACAAACAGACATTCACTGTAAGGGATGGTCTAAGAATAAGAGTTGGGAAGGACATATTATAAAACACACAAAAATCTAAGTGTTTGGAAGAAGCTAGGTAACAGGGAAAGTTTCATCGAGTTTTTGCGCCATTAAATTATGGTTCCACTTTCACTTGTCCAATATGCTTAAGGACACGATTCACCTACCCTCCCGCCTAGGGCCACCCCAGATCATACGGTGCCAGCATTGATATCAGATGGAAGCTCTAATAGATTCCATTCACTCTCACTCAGTTATGAATGGGCAAAAAATGGGCTCAGGTTAACAGCAAGCCACTTCCTCGTTTCAGATGGTTTGTATACATTACCCAAGGTTGAGGGCAAGAAGACATCCCAGTCTCGGTAGGCCTGTTACTGCTCCCATTTCCGCTTGACTCTTCATAAGGGTTCTTTGGATGTTTTAATTGCATCTTCTGAGTCCTGCAATAAGCCAAAGTTTGAGACAGACTCAACATTCAACAAAGTACCCCCCACTCAGAAACGGTCAGGAACGACTATCTTGCTAACAACAGTCTATCCTCAGTGAAAACATAATCAAACGCATCACTGAAACCTTGCAGAGGTAGTCAGCTACACTGATAGGAATTGTTAGGTAAGATACCAAAGACTGCTACTGGCACCATGCTGCAGTGGGTCAAGCCACTGCCTGTGATGCTGCCATCCCATACTGCAGTTCCTATTCCCGTCCTGGATGCTCTGCTTCCAATCCTGCTTCACACAAACACACATGGGCAAACGGAGGAAGATGGCCCAAGCACACGGCCCCCTGTCCTAGAGTGCAGCTTTAGCCTGGCCCAGCCCTGGCAATTACAGCCATCTGGGGAAGTGAACCAGCAAAGGAAGATCTATTTCTCTCCATGTCTCTCTGCCTTTCAAATAACTAAATCGTCTTTAAAGAGAAAAAGACACCAGAGATTCATGCAGAAGCAATTTTACTACTCTGATTCCATTTTAGCCACAAGAATGTGTTCCGTAGAGCTTTCTCTTTGAAGAAATTATCCTAGCCTCAATTTTCAGCAAATGGAAGTAACAGGGTGACGATTTTAATACCAGTATCTGGTGCCTATAGGCGCCTTTCAGCAGAAATGGCCTTTGAATCCTAAGACAAAAATCTAGCAATTCACCATTCCCTTTCAAACCAGATCTCTGAAAAATTTAAAAAGTAGATTTAAAGTAAACTTAAAAATAAGAATTTATGTATGTGCAATTAATATTTACATATCAGCGCATGTTTAATATATTAGATCAATAAATGTAATTATCACATATCAATAATGTGGTAATATCTATTTCCACATAAACTTAAATCTCCTTAAATTTCCCAAGCACCTTCCTTCCCTTTGGCATTCTCCATTGCATTCTCTTTTTTCCACATCCTTTTTTGCAAACTTCTTAGATATTGAACATTAGGCTAAAAAGCGAAAGTGTTCATGATGAACTACTGAATTGTGATTTTAAGTTTCTGCCTGAGAATACTGTTGCTCATGAGGTGGCAAAAAAGGAATTTGAAGCGTATGACTCATTTAAGCAAGATTCCAGTTCGTATAAAATCATAATAATAACAACAGATGACATTCGTTACACCAGATCTACCTTAAACCTTTGCTTAGATTAATTCAATTCATCTCAGTACTGTTCTCATCCATCTTTTAATAAAAAGTGAAACTAATGAATAAAGGGGTTAGGAGGTATGTCTGATGTCATTTGACACCGACTAGGATTTGAACTTGTGCACTCTTGGATAGAGCAGGATTTGAGACAAGTGTATCTTGGCTGATCTGTTGGATTTTCCGCGATACAGGACTGTTGCCACTCCCGTGGCTGTGGGACACCTGTAAATGTGGTTGTGTTTCATATGCAGGTAGGAGGCATTTGGATATTCTCAGAGAAGTGGGATGCATTAGTTAAGTGGCTCTTAGGTTCTTCAGCACGGGATGATGATAGTGACCTGGATAATTCTATAAAGTTCCCTTCATCCCCAAAATATTATGTCTCAGATTTTGTACAACACAACTGTAACAGTAAGTAAAATGCTTTTCTATAACGGTAACAGTAGAGAATACTGCCCCACTTTTGAAAACATGGAAAATGGGACCTGGTGCAATAACACAGTGGCTAAATCTTTGCCTTACACACCCAGGATCCCATATGAGCATCAGTTAGTATCCTGACTGCTCCACTTCCCTTCTAGTTCCCTGTTTGTGGGCTGGGAAAGCAGAAGAGGACGGCCCAAAGCCTTGGAACCCTGTACCCATGTGGGAGACACAGACAAGGCTTCTGGCTCCTGGTTTTTGGCCTCTGATGCGCACAGTTCCAGGCATTGTAGTCATTTGAGTGAATCAGCAGACAGAAGACCCCCCCCCCGTCTCTTCTTCTCTCTGTAAATCTGCCTTTCCAATAAAAATAAATACATCTTTAAAAGAAATGGAAAATGAGAAGTGTCATGCCAATACAGGCAAGGAAAAATATGAGATGCTAAGAGAGGAAAGTAGAACACAACAACACACAATTTTAACGAACAACAACCACATTTAACACACAAATTTATGGAAAAGATTGATGAGGAAAAGTAAAAGCACTGATGATTTTAGACAAGAACATCCTAGGTCCATAGGGGACATAACAAATGCACTTAAAAACTAGCATTATTTATTTAAGAAGCACGAATACCAACAAAGGAGAGACAGAAAGAGAGATTGTTTAAGAAAAAGAGAAGTTTTATTTACTGATTGACTTATTAAAGATTTATTGATTTTTGTTGGAAAGAGAGGATGAGAGACAGAAAGGAAGATCTTCCATCTGATGATTCACTCCCCAAGCGGCCACAACAGCCGGAGCTAAGCCAATTCGAAGCCAGGAGTCAGGAGCTTCTGCCGGTCTCCCACGCGGGTGCAGGGTTCAAGGCTTTGGGCCGTCCTCAACTGCTTTCCCAGGCCACAGAGAGTGGGTTGGGAAGTGGGCCGCTGAGATATGAACTGGTGCCCATAGGATCCTTTAATCTCTCTGGTCCACTTTCTAAATGCTCATAATAGCTGGGGCTGTACTAGGAAAAAGGCAGGAGCTATGAACTCAACCCAGGGCTTCCATGTAGATGGCAGAGATCCAAATCCTGCGGCTTTGCGGGGTCTGCGTTGGCAGGAAGCTGCCCATGGGAATCAGAGCCAGGACTCCAGGCCAGGTACAGGCATCTGAAGCCCTTGGCCAAATAGCTGCCTCTATTTACGTTTCTAAAGGCAGCAAGGACACCCAAGTTCACCTCCAGGAGACGGGGGCTCCTCTGGCCCAAAGGAAGGAAGGGGTCACCTGTAGGAATGAGCCCCCCAGAGGCCCAGGAGGAGCAGCAGCAGCAGCAGCACCACGCAGACGATCGCCACAGTGAGATCCCGCTGCCGAGCTCTGCCGGCATGGCGCAGCTCCCACCACCTGAGGTCCCGGTGCTGACAGCGCTCCCCGACGTAGCCAACCACACAGCTGTGACAACACATAAAGAACCGCCATCAGAGACTGCAGCGCCATAGCTGCCACCCAGGCATCTCTCCTCCCCTACGTGTTCACTCAGTGCTATGGAAGCCTGGGGGGCGAGGGAGAAAAAGCCATCAGGGGTCAGGTGCAAACACCACAACTCACAAGTCTATGCAGCATGATCTTCCCCGTTGCCTTGGAGAGAAAGGGAGGGAGGGAAATATTGTTTTCATAGTGCCTCCACAAGGCTTCAGAGGAAATTGATTAAAGATCAATTTCTGTTAGGCTGAAATCTGGAGGAGTCACCTTTTAAGGCCAATGCCAAGAGACTGTGTCCTCAGGGCCCAGGGAGTTGGGAAGCAAATGTTTGCAATAAGCAGAGGTGAACAGAAGGAAGAATCTGAGGCAGAGCCCCTCCCTGGGAACCAGGCTGTCCAAGACGAATGTGCCCAGCACAGCAAGCGCAACCCAGCCTGTCACCACTGACAGCCTATCACCACTGACCCAAGGAAAAGACACTTCCATGGTAACACAGGGATTCTCCAGTTTTCTGCAAGGTGGGGAAGAACTCTAGAGCAAAAAAGAACTTTCCCACATAGACGCTGGGCTGTCCAACAAATGAAATTGTTACTGGAACTGTCCGGGAAGGATGCACTGTGGAACCTTTGCAGTCAATGAAACAATGCTGCCATCTACTGGACATGTTCGTACCCAGAAATTGTCAGGACATTGGTTAACAAGCGGTCTTCTGTTTGCAAGAGCACTAATAGAAACACCTGGTTAACACTTTGTTATGCTCACTTACTAGGAATTCCCTCTCCTTGAAACAGCTATCTATGTGTGCAGGTCCCCTGCCTGTTCCAAAAGGACTTGAAGGAATGAGTCCAGAGAACAGATATGAGCACCTGTGGCAGAAGACGTAGCATGCAGAAAGCACAGGAAAGCTTCTGAAGGCCTGGGCCCTGGTCCCCGTTCTATAATGAGCTCACCCTGAGGGCTCTAAGAGGCAGGAAGAAAAGGAATGAGCACTCGCCATGTGCCTTTGTATGTCTGATGCCGTGGTAGGCATGTTACCTCAATGTCATGCTCCATTTTTACAGATGAGAAAACGGAGGCTTGAGGAATTCATTGGCACAAGGTTGAACAACTAACGACAGGTTTGATTCAGGCCTTGCACCAAGACAGAGCCATCGGTGGCTTCACTCTCTTCCACGAATTCTGGGGTCTGCTTCAAATGACTCTTCAACATCCAAGCCCATGTTCTTTCTACTACATTTGGCTCATTCCCAAAAGAGTGTGCAGGGCTATTCACCTCTGAAAAGCTATTCTTCTAGAACTGACCACATGAGAGATGGTAGGGCCTGAGTGTAGAACCAATGGGACCATCATGCTGTCTCAGACTTTCCCGGGCACACTCTTCACTCTAGCTCTCTTTGGTTATGGCCACTCCCATCAATGTCTAGCATCTGCTTTTAAGCTGCTACATATTAACAGACCACATACTCCTCTGATGCTCTGAGAGATGTGGGGAGCTTGTGGACTCGGCCAGTCATGGGTCCATGAGTTCTCCAGAGCCACGTTAGCCTGCAGGAGCAGAGCTTCTCTGGGCTTTTATTATGGGGTGGGACAGAAACTCCAAGTTCTTTGGGTTGTCAAGACTCTCTAGCCAAATATGTTCCATTTCCCTTGGTCAAATAAGTTACATAAAGGCAAGTAAGTCTTGTCAATGAGTTGCAGTGAACCGAAGGCTAGAGTATCAGGCATTTCTTGGACTGCAATGATCACACAACAAGGGCTAAGGGATCTTGATTTAAACACCTGCCCAGAAAGTGGCTGGACCAAAAGCTAAAGCAGAAGGCACAGAGACCTCTTGTGAGCTCAAGAGGCTTAAAGCTACTTGAAAATTGGCACAGCAGGAGACTTCTGAGGAACATGGTGGGCATGGGGTCTTCCAGTTCTCTGTCCTTCCACCTCTCAGAAAGTCTGGGCTCCCACGAATTTCAGGGGAATGTCCACTGCCTCCAGGTAAGAAAGAGCCAGCCCACTGGAACGTGCTGTGCAGAACGGTGCCTACAAAGTGCTTCTTGTAAAAACTGGACTGATAAGCACTTCCTAGAGATTTGCTGATTGGGAATTAATAAGGCATAAGGTGAGGTTATTAGGGTAGGGTGGGGGGGAGGGAAGAGTTGAATATTTGTTTAAACAATACTGTTAAATTGAATGCACAAGTCAAAAAGCTATGATTCAGATTATGGTGAATTCTGATGTCATTTTAAACATTGCTTTCCACTAAAGGCCCTTCGAGTTGAATGCAACCTCCAGTTTAATTATCACTTTGCAGCAATTTGTGTTTAAATTATTATCAGGTACATACAATATTTCCATCAGGAGTGACTGGTAAAAAAAAACACACTGAGCTAAACAGCTCATCAATCATTAAGGGGATTGGTGCTATCAGTTCCACATGAAAAGACTGCATGAAATACAATATACAATACCCCATCTCCCACTCTACCCTCTGTATATTATGATTTTGGAATAGAAAGTTACAGCATCATAGAGGAAAACAATGAATGACCTGATAAACCAGAATATTTCTTTTTGTAATTTTCTTATCTGTGATAAGAAAAAATGAACTGATTTTACTAACCTGGCTCTTAATGTTAAAATTAAAGAGAATGAAAGCATTAGTTTTATCATTCATTAGAGAGTTACGGCCCGTAAATATGAAGATGAAAGCAGAAGTCCACCAGAAGAAAGCCCTTTTTGCTGACACTTTAGAGCCCTTCCCTGACTTGCGTCCCACTCACATGGTTTCCAAAACAAGACCATACACTCAGAGAATATAGCTTATTCTAACCATTTAGACTGTAATTCCACTCATTATCACTGATGACATTTTTAAAAATCCTCTCTGCTTTAACATCTGTTTGTGAGGATCAGAATATTCTATGACACCTCCCCCAACACACACACACACGCACACAGAAAATTATTAAAGAATCAGGACTCTAACTGTGGGAGATCTACTTATTTTCACTACCAGTGGCTTTGAGATATGAAATTAATCTAGGGAAAAACTTGATACCTATCAAGATACTGTCAGCTTGGGTTTTGTTAAAGTCTCCATGGAAAGGTCTTCCCAGTAAATACCCTACACATTCAGACCTTCCTCTGATATCCATTTTGTGCTGACAGTGTCCACAAGAAACCCCCAGGCCAAGAGAGAGCAGCAACAGCAGTTGCAGAATCCACTGATTCTCACTAAATGACAAAAATGCAAAGCCAACTATTAGGAAGTAAAGTAATAAAAGGTTTTTAAACACAAAGCAAGAAACCCAGTGTGGATATGTACACATTTTTGTAACTCTAGACAAATACTGTGGCCTGTGAATGCTCTCCACATATTTGGCAGGAAAGAAATTGCAATTTCAAGAAATCCTCTCACAAACCTGCATCTTTTTTTTTTCCAATCAGTATGAGAAGCACAATCCCCAGATAATGCTAATAGTAATGTTGAATGATTTAAGAAAAACAAAAATCCCCAGCTCTGTCAGCTATAATTTAGCACTGGTGGTTGGCCAGGGAGGAAAGGGGTCATATATAAATATGGAGGGTGCTATGGAACATGCACGTGGGCCCACACACACACAACACAGTTTTTGTGTGTGTGCATCTTCCTAAGTACAAACCTAATGGTAGAAAAGTTACTTCTTATAAATTTCACCAGCTAGTGAAAAGTTCTAGACCGTGAGACAGGTGACGTACTTGCATGCATAGTTGTCCACTGCTTCAATGTACATGCACACGCCACCATGGAGGCAGTAGCCGTCGTGTGATGCGGGGCATCCCGGGTAACTATTTCTGCCGGGAGAAGGCTCATCTTCCCTGAGGTGAGATGGTGGAACGGAATCTAGGAGAATCAAAGACATGGCTTTTATTTTCTGAAGTGATCAGAGTGTTTAGGAACGAGTTTCTGTGAACAACTTGTGATAGAGCAGGGACAGTAGAACCATCAGGAAAGGCAACAGGTTCACTTTCCTCAATAGATCTTATGTCACTCAGAGTGACCCAGATATAAAGCACCCTGGAGAAAAGTAAGTTACCGTATGAACTTGGTCAATGACCCCCTTACTATAGCAAATCTATCGTCCATGGATATGCACTGACTTCATGAACTGACAGCCTGAAGAAGGTTTCACTGACCAACCATTATCTTTGTATGACTTCATAAGTACACAGCCTATTCCCCTTAGTATCTTGAGTCTCAAAAATTTCTCCCATATAATGTTGTCTACTAAAAACGAACTATCCTGGGAAACTTCAAACACAAGACTATAGCAACTTGGACAGGAAGGGAATGTTACTATAACAGAGGGAATGCCAAAGCAATGAAGTCTTCTTTATTGAATGGTTCACTGCTCCTTGAAACAAAACATCAGGGTGTGCCGCTGACTATACAAACAGTAGGTTTTTTCAGTATCTTAAAGAACAATATTTTCTTTTCCTTTTTTTTTTTTTGTAGAAAAGTCTCAAGCTAAACAGACCAGGTACGTGTAGGATTTTCGTTTTTCATAATGTTTTTGCTTGCAGAGAGAGGGAGACAACTAGGGACACTGCAATGGAATCCTGATTTCGGTTTCATGGTCAAGATCAAACCAGCTTCTTTTGTGGGGTGCTGATGGTGAGACGTTTTAAGAAGCATGAGGTGACCCTTTGTGAACATCTTAAAACAAAAGTAAGAGAGCTGGAGTTCTAACTCAGATCAAGAAATGTGAACTTTTAGAAGTAGTATTTGAAAATTCTTGACTGCAGCTGAAAATGTTAGGAGTCCCCAGACACCCTCACGACCTGCCTGCCCTGTGAAAGTTTTTCCAGCAGCCCCAGGAATCAACATTTCAAGCTGGGAGATTAGTTGCATGGTTAAAAAGAGCCATCTGTGGTCCCAGCTTCACTGAATTGTGAACAATAAAAAGGGATTTCTTCCAGATACTTCTAAATGAAGAAAGCCTGGATCATTTCAAATTCTCAAGCCCAGCATCAACCTGCCCAGAATAATCAGTTTTCCAGCCTGATCAAGTGCAATGATTTCTAGATTAACACAAACATTCTGGGTGCAGAATTTCCCAGAAACAGTCCCCTCCCTTTCCAACCAGGCCATCCACCCACCTACCAGGGCACATCAGGCCAGGTTCAGATGGGCTGCCAGCACACGTGCATGTGTAGCCTCCCTCTGTATTTGTGCAGTTGGCATTCTCTCCGCAGCTGTGCACCCCCAAGTGGCACTCATCAATATCTGCCAGAAAAATAGGGTGCAGGGAAGGAAAGAGTGTTACATAAGCAAGCCCAACACCCTGAAGGGATGCCTCCTCGGGTCTGCCCCACGGCCTGTTCTCCGAGGCTTGTGCATTTTCATGTGTACAGGTGATTAGGCGGATTGCCAGAGAGAGAGTTTTGGCCCTTCAGCTGCATGTGCACACAGATGAGCCACACTTCTGGTGGATGTTTTCCAATTGCCAAGTCTTCCTCCTGCTTGGCAGGAAAAGAGACTTGTCCAAATTATCCACTGGGAAACTACCTCGGTCAATCATTTTAGAAGGTCAGATACTAAAGATTCATAACTTCACTTTCATGATTTGATATCTAACTATTCACACACACACATGCTATATCAGACATGATATTTTTAGGTTTACACATAAACATGAATGACATAATTAAGCCAACTTTGACTTTCTGACTTATCCAATCCACATTTTCTTGTCTCAGCTAATGCTACCCTAACAGGTCTCTCCTTGCACCTGCCATCACTGCACGCACAGCCCCATCCCATTCCTGCATCCTAGCTCTCCTCAAGCTCCACACCTAAACATCAGTACCAGGCGGTTGTCCCTGGATCACATGATGATAAAACCATCACAAACTCAGACGTTGCCAGTGGCTCTCTCAGATCCTTATGGAAAGGCTGGCATTGTAGCCATCACCAAATGTGGGCTTCAGCCACTTGAAGTGCATGATTCCACACAGACATGGACTATAGGTATCAAGCATACAGCAGATTCTGAAGACTCAATATCAAAATCAGAAAGAATGTAAGATAGTTCAATCATGTTGATGCTTACCACACATTAAAATGTTAATATTTTAGAGATGTTAGAATAAAAACCGTGACATGAAAATTAATTTCAACCATCCTTTTTATTCCTTATAACATGGCTACCAGAAAACCTGTGAGATCACTGGTCAAAGGAAGTAAATTCCCAATGACTGACCCTCACATTCCAGTCTTCCACAAGTCCTAACAAAATGGAACTTATGTCCTTAAAGTAGCAGAAGAACTCTCAGAGTGCCCACTCACTCGATCTTTCTGGCATGCTCTCTTGTCACTCCTGGCTCTCTCCGAACACTGCAGAGAAAAAGCTGTCTAAGCTAATGAAAAAGAGGCTGTCTACAATTTAGGAAGTGATCCTTCACCAGACACCAAGCCAACTAGAATGATCTCTGGGGCTTGTAGATTCCAGAACTGTGAGGAATCAAACTTCTGTTATCCAAGTCACCAGCTCGATGGTACTCAGCTTCTGCCCTTCTCACTCTCGGTGCTCACCTAGACTATTCTTAACCGCACATAGAAGACACATGGTTTGTTTACACCTGGAATACTCTCTACTTCTGCCAATGTCACCTAATGAAAGTGTATTCATCCTTTCATGGTCCCATTAGAATCACATTGTCTCTGTGTCATCCCTCCTGACCCTTCATATATTTCTCCAAGTTTTGAATTTCCACTGTAGTTCTAACTTTTGACATGACCATTTCTTCATGAACTTTGCTTACAATCATGTGTTTTGGCAGATGACATCATTCTCAGTACAAACAAGGATTGCCTTTCCTATCTTGACATTCCCCATAATTCCTAGCACTGCGCCTTTGTACCTAAAAGAGACTGATCAAATATTCATCATGGCGATTCACTAGTCTGAATGACCCAATCAACTCCTTTACCATGAACCATAATTTGATAGAGAAATAGAAAATTTTTGCAAATGTAAAAACAAAAATGCATTCTTGGCCAAGATTTAAACTATTGTTCATAATAACAACAATAAGACTTTTCTATAACAATTACTGTGTATAACCCACAGTCTATAGAATTTTATCTACATGTCTTTAGGAAGACAGAGAAAGAGGAAATAATAGGGAGAGAAAGGAGAGTAACACAGGGAGTGAGCCCTATGTCTCAGTGGAGGCCCAAGGACTGTGCCAACCAGACAGGCAGGGTCATGATCTCGTCTTGTGTATTTGACACTGGAAGGGGGTAGGTTAGTAACCCAGAGGGAACCAAGAGGAGAACGAGGTTAAACATCCACAAACGAGACCTCTTTCTCTTCAAAGCAAATTAAGAAATCTGCCTAATTATCTATGAGTCAGCTTAATTAGAGTAGTGACATTTTCCTGACTGATAGCCAACTCAGTGTTTATAAGAGCATTTGCAGTTGTCAGTGGACTATACAAAATGAATCTGATAAAGGGTTGATTCAAATCAACTCCATCTAGAAAATTCTGCATTTTCACTGCTATGTCATCCTTAGCCTTAACACATGGGACAAGGCAGTATCACTGGAGTTTGCTAGCAGGGCATCTGCACCTCAGCTTCCAGAAGAAGGAAAGCACAGAAAGGAAAATTCTACAGCTTGATAAAACTGCAGATAACCCCTTGACTAGGTCACAGAGAGCTTCAGGCAGGCCTGTGCTCGCAGGGCGATGCTCTGCTACAAACACCTGGCAAGGTGCATCTGCCGGGTGAATTCCCAACCAATAGACCTTCCCCAGCCTTGGCCAAGGATGGTGACTATGCAAGAGCTTTTAAACACTCTTTACTTATACCCTAAGTGCCAGTGGCTGGAATCTCTCATCTGCTAAACTCACAAGAAACACTGATGAATCCCTTCACAGAAGCAAGTCACGCCTTTTTAAAATTTGCTTGTAGCGGGCGGGGACTTTAAACAAACCCACAGCAGCCCTTAATTCACCCCCACTCCAGCTGCCAAACGCAGTGACAAAAACAGTGTGGCTTGATTCCTTCACATTGGTTCAAAATGCAGAGTACCAATGAGACACTAGTAGCACTGGGACCCCCAGAGAAAGAGCAAGAAAGACATGGGGGATTGAGCAGGCAGGGCAAGGACTTGGAGCTGACTAATGCAGCAAACACAAGGAAACACACACTCAACTATTTACCAAGAATCGAACTATGCCAGTTTGAACTGGTTGTACAACTTGTCTTTCAGTCTTGTTATGTGTCACCTCAGTTATTCCCCGTCTTCTCTCAGCCTACCACACCCACAGGGTATAAGATTGCCCAGGGCTGGCCCCCGCCCTTTTCCCTTGGCACACGTTCTCTCACCGAGACAGTGAATCCCATCTCCGTGGTAGCCTTCTGAGCACTGGCACACATAACCACCTTCCGTATTGATGCACTTGGAGGAGACAGGAGGGCAAATTGTGTTCCCCATCTCACATTCATCTATATCTATGGGTAAAACAGGGAGCTAATGAGGTATTCAGGCAATCCTGGTAGCAATGGGTACAGCAGGAAACAACAAACAGAATCTGAAATGCAGCTAATCAGTCAATTACAGGCACTGTCTGCAAAAATAACACAAACCATTGCCTCATGAATGTAAAGCTCACTTCTGAATCAACTTTTAGAGTTCTCAGTCTGACGGCTAAATGGGTTTAAATAAATCACCTTCCTAGAGTTTCAGACCACAGATAGTGAGCTCTTTTCAGCAATCACTAACATAATTTTCAGACTTTCAATATAAAACAGAAACCTAATCTATCACTTGATGAATACTTAGACCTAAGCTTCTGGTGAACAAAAACAAAAGTTGCATTTTCATCAGAATTGGTGGATTCATAAATGTGACCTGAACTCCAATCTGTGCTTCTCAAACTAATTATAAATTCTCCCCCTTAACTTTAACTGCTTGTATTATGTAATATTAATGCAAATGCAGCATAATGTTTATATTGTATATTTAAAATGTTTAGTATTTTCTATGCATATTATCCAATATCTTTTAGTTATCATATAATAACTTACTCAAATCTGTTGATTATGTAAATCTTCCTGGAGATTTTTAGGCAATATGAGCAAAAAAATGTTTTTGGTTTAAGGTTTTCCAAATGTGTATGCCTGGCCTTTACTCTTACCAGAACAAAGCTTTCCATCTCCAGCAAATCCTTCCAAACACTGGCATGTGGCAACCTCTCCCTCAGAGATACACTGGGCATGCTCACCACAGCCTGTAGGTACGCAGTCATCTTGCTCTGCAAACAAGGAGAACCACGTGCTATATAATTTCCAGATCTTAGAGGAGAGAATGGACTTTAATGTTCCACATGCTACAGAACATCCCAGCATTTCCCTTCTCCAGTGCTGGGACAGGTTAATCCAGATAGAAACGCTTCACTTGCCTAAAAGCTACGTTGTAGTACTCAGGATCCACACACCAGGTGACTCCATTTACAAGCTCCCATTAAGGTTCCATCTTGGAGGATGATGTGGTCTCCAACGAGCCCTGTGTGCCCCTGTTTATGAACCTTTTAAAAATGCTTGCAAACTTGAGCTATAAAATTATTAGAACAGATTGACTCAAATTTTAAGAAGCCTGGTTACTTATTTTACAATCCTAACCATTTGAAACATACAAGGAATCAATCTCTTTTTATTCCCCTAAGACACACAGATCAATTTGAAGTGAGAAGATCTGTTCACCAAAGTGGCCAAGAGCTTCAACCATAAAAAGATTTATTGTTGATTTCCTAATAGTCAGTCTCATATGTAATAGAATACAGATAATCAACTACGTATGTTGATTATTCAGAGCTATGCAGTGACTTGCAAGCCTCCAGGCACTTTTCCAAAGTCATTAACCATGTTAGTTAGATGCTATAAAAGAATCATTTTATTCTGCACTAAAATCAAATGCAAATGCCCCAAGGGACAGATTTACTACATGCTGAGCCATAAATGTGAACAATTTTGTTGTTGTTGTTGTTGTTGTTGTGTGTGTGTGTGTGTGTGTGTGTGTGTGTGTGTACGATCATTCTTCAAATTCTATCCCTCCGATACTTAGAGTTTGGGGAACCTGACACACAAACTATTACCTATTCATTGGAAAATGAAGCACAGAATAGACCAAAGAAACCCTCCAATCAGTCTATAAATTAGACAGTTAAATGGGCAGGATCCAGGTGCAGACATTGGATACTGAACATGACTTGCTTATAGAAGGTTTCTGTTGATGGAACACATCCCTTTCATGGTTGTTTGATCATCTCTTGTCACTCACAACTCCTGAAGATGGATACATTCAGGCTAATCACGCTTTCATTTCATTCAGTGTTTGTTCGGAAAGAGGGTGGATGGTGCCCAATTACTCAAGATATGATGTAAATACCTGCAGAATCATCTTAAATAAGAATATGATTCTGAACTTAATGTGGCAACTTGTACAATCAAAGCCAGCTTTGCATAATGAAAAGTGAGTGGGTATGCAGTTTTACAGGGAAGGGGGTTAGGCTAGAGTTGATCCCACCTTAATGGTTGTTGCATTTTAAGGGGTAAGCCAGTGGATGGAAAATCTCTCTGTGTCTGTCTCTGTCTTCCTTGTCATTCAAATATATTAAAATGAGTAAATAGATGTTTACTATCTGTTCCTCCTACTTCTGGAAGTACAGCTAGATGGACCCAAATCCTAAAACATTGGGTATGGACAGAGACATCGAAATCTTCTCTGGCCTATTCTTCACCGTTGTTTCAAAGTTACACAAGGAATCTTCAAAAAGTTCACAGAAAATCTGTAATTATGAAAACCATCAGGCCCGGCGGCGTGGCCTAGAGGCTAAAGCCCTCGCCTTGAACGCCCCGGGATCCCATATGGGCGCTGGGTCTAATCCCAGCAGCTCCACTTCCCTTCCAGCTCCCTGCTTATAGCCTGGGAAAGCAGTCAAGGACGGCCCAAAGCCTTGGGACCCTGCACCCGTGTGGGATACCCAGAAGAAGTTCCTGGATCCTGGCTTTGGATCAGCATAGCATCGGCCGTTGCACTCACTTGGGGAGTGAATCATTGGACAGATGATCTTCCTCTCTGTCTCTCCTCCTCTCTGTATATCTGACTTTCCAATAAATAAATAAATCTTTAAAAAAATAAAGAAAACCATCATGAATTCCAAGATTGTTTTAATACCAAACTGAATTCATCTTTTAATTCCATTTCCCACAAACTGTTTGAAGTTGCTCTTGTATTTCTCCAAAGAATGATCATTCCAAAAGCTCTCAAGGTACATAGTTTATGTTTACTGTGGAGCCATCTGCCTCAGGCTCTCCACCCAAAGGGAAGGCCTGTACTCCTAGGCTTGGCTTCGTTAACTTTGTGTAGGTATAGCTTACATTCAATAAGACAGAAATCAGAATTTTTCACATGTCAGATGGCAATTGTTGGAACCAAGGCTGTGCCAGAAAACTCCCCATTCATACCTGACACCATGATCTCTATCACCAGTGTGTGCTTAGATGCTGCAACATCCTCTTCTGATGCTCTGGTCCCCAAGGTGTCCACTGGGGTCATCTGACTATTCAGATCAGCTTCACCACCTGCTGGAGGACAACAAATTCAATTAATGGTGTTTCTATTGCAAAGGGAGTATGATTTGATTTATATGCATGGTGATTCACTAGTTGTGAGGTCAGCTCCTTCTTACAGTTGAAGATTCAGGAAAATTGGAGGGTCTCAGTGATTCAGCACATCTTGCTCTGCTCTCTCCCATTCTTCCAACTTCATTCAGTGCACTTATAGATTCAGGGAACAGAGCCAAGCAGGGAAGGTAAGTAGGCCTCTTTTAGGTACTGCCAAAATACATGCATCAAGTACCAAAATCCTTTGGAATATATTCAGTTGATAATCTCAGCATGCCTCTGGCAACGACCAAGGAGGGATGATTGCAACCTACCTTCCATACACACCCCTGCTTTAATGCTTACATTAGCTTCATTTTACCAGAATGATACAATGTGAAAAGACATAAACAAACAAACCATGATTTAATATAGACATTGAATTCTTGACCCTTCCATCCCAAAACATGAAGAAGTGGATTCTCTAAGGAAGCTGTTCTCTAAATTGTGATCTGCAGACCCTTGGCAGACTCGGTGCAGAGAGTCCATTTCATCAAAACTGTGACTGTGTTTATAATCTAATGGTCTTTGCCTCTTTTGACTGTGTTCATGTTCATACTAATACAACAAGAGCTAAGAGTGGGTAAAACATGCCTCATCATGGATCAAGGCAATGACACCAAACTCCACCAGCATTCACATTAAAAAACAAACAGGTTTCACAAGAAGATTGTGGCAAACCAATAAGAATTAGTAATTTCTGAAACTCTCAACTATTTACTGCATGGTTTGTAATATTCTGTGATACAAAAGGAATGATAAACATTATTTCTTCCAATGTATACTGAAGCTATGATGGCAATTCAGTGACAAAGTGCTCAAGCAACTTTCGAGTTGTGATCAGAAATTAACCCTAACCCTGCCCACTGACTTAGTGTTTGGCAAGCATTTTCTCAAAACGAATGAAGTGAACCTGTTACTTTAAGGAAAAAAAAACCTACCTATATTTGTTGCCACAGTCAGATTTCATTTTGTCTCTGAGCTGCAAGACTACCAGCTTTGGTGCAGTATTAAAAAAACAGAACCCCAAAAAGACACTTTAAACAGGCTGTTGGACAATACTCTCTTCTCCAACTTCACATCTGTGAGAGGTCAGCTTTTCTTCACTGATTTTAACCAAAACAATGCATAACAACCAGGAGTGGCTACAAGAATCCAGCTGTCCTGTCAAGCCAGACACCCAAACCATATAGAAAAGGAAAACCATACCACTCTTCTCACTACAAACCTTCACATCTTGAAAATATGGTTATCTTAGCTTTATGAATATGTATTATATTAATAAACAATGGACTTATTATTACAATTTCAATAGAAACCTTTAAAATGTTTTTACTTCAATATAATAAATATTGAATAGGCATAAATAAGAACTCTTTGGAGCTCTCAAAAATTTTTAAGAGCATAATGAGGTCGGAAACTAAGAGTTCTGAAACTGTTGTCTTAAAGCAAACAAAACAAAACAAAACAAAACAAGCCCACTAATAGAAAACTTTGAAAATCACCCAAATATCTGGCTCTGGTGTAGGATAGAGCAATCCATTTATTTGTTATCCACCTAGCACCCATCTTATATTTATACTGTGCTTACCAAGTAAACATAAATTCTTTTAAAATGCTGTAGTAAAATTTATTTTTGACCTATGTTTCATATAAAGATATCAAAGTTGAATTTAAAAATGCCTAAATTGTTTGATAAATACATGGACACATTACAAGGGAGGCTAATCAGTGGTACTAGTTACATATCACTCTTGGTTTTCTGATCCTTTCTCGTCCTCAAAATTATATTTAGTTTGCTAAAAGTGGATCAAATATTAAGTTTTTCACAACTTAAATTCAAGAAATTTACTGTTCATATTAATACCTTTCTGGTGGCAGGGTCAAATATATGACTACCTGTAAATTTGAGAACATAAACTTCTACACAAAATGTCTCTAAACATTTTTAAAAATTTGATAAATTTCCTGTATCCATTCCACTTCAAACAGGCAAACAGGTAGATTAAAGTGTAAAACTTTTACAATTGGATATCATCCTCTAACAAGGAGTTCAAAACATATCAGGGTAGGAACTCGAAAATATTCTTAACAGTCCTAAGAAGAGTAGTTTTTAGTAATAAAATATTAAAAGTCAGGTTGTGCAACTCTATTCCTGAACTGAGGGAGGACCCTTCAACTATAGCATGTATTATTAGGTTACCTGCCCACATCGGGTCACCATTCAGAGCCAAGCACTTTTTCCCATCTGGGGATTTTATAAAACCTTCACGACATGAACACTGAGCAGTTCCAAATCTCTCTTGGCAAGTATGTTCACAGCCTCCATTTTGGTGTAGGCAGGGATTTGTTCCTAGCGGAGAAGAGAGACAAATTCACACATGGGCTTGGAGATGCAAAGGATGCTGTAGATGCAAATCACCTTCTACAACTTTCGGGGAAAAATATTGAGTGAGACTAAACACAGAGTGTGTCAAGAGCTATCCCAGAAGTGTTCCCATAGTGAGCCACGGATTCTAAGAGAAGTTTAGGATGCAGTTGCCTTTTCCATATCTACTGAGTATAGACAGCCCTCTGGTTCAAGAAGCTCCTTGGTCAGATGTGATTCCTATCGCTTGATCCATCCTCCAGTCAGACTGCAAAGAGCAACTCAGAAACGAGGAGACTGAAGGCAGGTGCCTTTTGCATTTGCTTAGCCCTGGCTGACACTAATTTCTTGGCACTCTCTAGGGGGAGAGGAGACCCAGTGCAGGTTTCTAAATTGTCTGCCCTTATTGCCTTTAATCCAAGGGTCTCTGCAATGTAGCCATCAAGAAAAGCTGATCCTGGAAGGAAAATCACCAAATTGAAGTTACCAGACTACCAAACTGTCTTAGTTATAATGAAGTCCAAATTTCAAAAAATGCTAGCATCTTTTCAGACTAGTGAGAACTGCAAAGCTCTCTTGATGTCCCCTGCCCGTCATGAGTTAAAACAGTCACAGATTGCAGCCAAGGAAAAGGCTGATTAACTTCCAGTGTACCTGGTTTTGCCAACGGATGGACCACAACCAGTGATGAGGGCTTCATCATGCTGCCTCGCAGACGTACCCTGTTTTTGCCAGTCCTCTTGTTCATTCTTATTACAGATGGCACAGCCCAATCTGAGAACCACACATAATCCTCAAATACAGCTACAGCAAACGGGTGACCTGAAAGTAATTCAGACCCATTAAGTACACCCTCGGTGGCATGGTTGTGAAAACTTACCAAAGGACAGATTTCAAACATACACAACTCCAGCACTAAAGCAGTACTTTATCTGCTTAGACATGGTATAGGCTACTGGTTCACAACATTAAGCAGAACCCACACAATAAAGGCCCCTCGTTTGAGAATGGGAGTCTGTTGGTATGAGGTACTTGCAAAGCCCAGCATCTCTTCAGCATTTGGACAGAGAGAGAACTTGGGCTGATTGATTTTACAGTACTAAGAAGAGGGGGTCAAGATGGGCGTTTCCTATTCGTACATCTGTCATTATTTACAGACTCAGCTCCAGTGATTGCTCTATGCTTTGCTCCTTACCCTGGGTTCTTCATCATTTGAGTGGCAATAATGTACCATAGACCAAATTCATAGGTTGCAAACAAATGTTATTAAATATTTGGGTAACAGTCTCCCGAAAGTCCCCTGGTAGCCCCGCTCTCCTGCCTCTTTCTTCCCTTTCCTCTTGGCACAGACCTGTGCTCCTGACATCATCTTTCCTTCCTTGATCCATCAACAATCACCACTTTACTCTTTCTCTCATTCCACTTTCCCTCAGTCTACTAACACCCCATCTTCACCTCCTATTCCCCGTATGCCCTCTGGTTTCTCTTTGTCAAGTTTTGTTAGTTTGTTTTAATTTGAAAGGGACAGACATACAGGAGAAACAGAGATCCTCCATCTGTAGGTTCACTTCCCAAAATGCCTGCACCAGTCAGGGCTGCGCCAAGCCAAAGCCAGGTGTCTGAAACAATCTGGCTCTCCCACATGAGCAGCAGCAGGCAGCTGGGACTGGAAGTTGAGCTGAGACTGTGCTCTGGAATGCAGGCATCCTAAGCGGCATCTTAAATGCTGCCCAAATGATTACTCCAAAGCTAAGAGTCATTTATCATCTACTGCCTCCATTCTCATGGTCCCTGTTGACTTCCAAATGAATTGCATTTGCAGTCCAATTCAGCCAAATCCAAGTCAGGCTTTCAAATCCCTGGAATACCCCTGATGAGGTATTCAAAGATACAACAGGCAAGGAAATGTTTCCTTTCTCAAGCACTTAGAAACTAAACTTAAATAGGCCTAAATTTGGAAGTTTGAACCAGTGTCTACTCACATTCCTTTAGGTAGGGTTTTTTGGGTTTGTTTTTGTTTTTGTTTTGCCTAGGAGTAATGTTATTTGGTGAATTAGAGGGGATGTCTCCCTCTACTGGCAGCAAACCCAAGTGACTTGAGAACAATGAGTTTCCACTCGTTGCTGACCAGTCATTAAGACTTATTTTTTGGTCTAGTTTATAATCCAACTACAGTAGTCTCCCTTATCCATAGGAACTTCTCAAGATGTTCTGCAGAAGTCATTAACATTACTAAACCTATACTTATATGTACCTAAATGCTGGTTTTTCCTGTATGAGAGATCTTCAAATACATTTTTGCAAGAACTCACATTATGAAAAACTATGCCTGGATTCCAAAAAAGATGTGACACTAAAATCAATTTATTTTTAATTTAACTTTCCACAAACTTTCTGAAGTACTCTCATACATATATATCAATGGTAAATTTTATATATTAGGCGCAATCTAAGATTAAGGACAGTAATAGCATAGAACAATCATTAACAACTGACTTCAACAAAAGCTACTTAAAACTTATGGATTGTTTATTTCTCTTTTTTTCTTCACACAATTTACCACAGTTAACTAAGGCTGTGAGAAACAAAACTTATGAAAAAAGGAGGTTTATTTTAAAACCATGAATACAGAATGACCATTTTTTTTATGTACCCACAGTTATTTTCATTGTGGCACCACATTTTTCCAATTTTGACCATCTCTCAGCGAACCATTCAGAAGAGGTAAGTCCATTCAGAAACTGATAGGCAACTAATCTTTGGAACTTTTCATCTTGCAAAGCCCACCCTCTGTGCCTTGAAGCAGCTCTGCATTTCCTTCTGTCCTCAGTCCCCGGAAATCACCATTCCCTCTTCTGTTTCCTTAAATGTGACCACTCTAGATATCTCAAACAGGAGGGATTGTATAATACGTGCCTTTTGGTGACTAGCTTATTTCACTTAGCACAATGTACTCAAGGTCCATCCATGTTGAAGTACATGTTAGAATGATAGTGTTTCAACAGATAACCTACATGACAAATCATCTTCATTATTTTTTTTATTAGAAGAAGTACATTGGTTGTACTTCAACGATAAGAAGGGGTCAGTAAGCTCATTCAATCCTGAGTTTGATTCCCAGTTCTGGCTCTTCAGATTCCCAACCAGTACAAATTGTGAGGCCTGAAGTGATTGGCTCACGTAATCAGGTTCCTGCCAGCCCTGTGGAAGATGTGGATTGCATTCCCATCTCCCAGATCATGCCTTGACCTGGCTCAGGCTGCAGGCTGTTGGGTAGTGAACTAGTGCCTGGGAATACGCACTCATTCTCTCTTCCCTTTCATCCCCTCCCCTGAATAAGTAAGTAAGTAAATAAATAAACCATGAATTGGAGTTATGAAGAATATATACCAGCAGAGGGCACTATTATGATGGGAATGGTTAGATTACTTTAACACAAAATTAGCTGGTAATGACTGTCAATGGAAAATTGGGTTCACCATAGATACAGTAGTAATATAAATTATTCTCAAAATATCTGCTATGCTTTTTTTGGAATATGATGTCTTTACATTCTGGTAAAGACCCCAGTCAATTCTTTCATATCAAAGCTATAGGTTTATATTTACATGAATTTGAGTGATGTATTTTTTTAAAATATTGTATATATCTTGCTAGAATCCATGATTTCATAGAAATCATAATATGGTCCCTGTATCTGCACTTCCTATAAGGGATCTTTGTTAAAGTGCATGGATGAAATTGAAGACTGTTTGCAAGTTTATCACTTTTAAAAAAGTAAATATTTAATTCTTGAAGAATCTTAAAAATTTATAAAATTTTAAATTATATTTATTTTGTTGTGTTTAACTCATATCACAAATGTACATATTCATTACTTCTAAAGCTAGATAGTGGAATGGACAACCCGTGTGGCGGTTAAAACACCACTTGGGGCCCATCCAATCCCCCTTCCCCACATTGTGGAGTTTGGGTTCAAGTTCTGGCTCCACTTGTGATTCCAGTTTCCTACCAACTTGTATCCCTGGAGGCATATAGGGATGGTTCAAACTGTTGGCTCCACACACACACATGAAAAGTCCTAACTGAGCCCCTGGCACCTGGCCTCCACTCGCCTCATTCTGGTGATGCAGGCTCCTAGGGAGTGAAATCAGCAGATAGATGTGCTTTCTCTCTCACTCCCTTCCTGCCTTTCAAATAAATAAACAGAAAATTTTTCAAACTTTTTAAACCAAAGAGGAAAATCAAAAACATATCCTGTACAAATTATTAAACAAGAGAGATCATGCTTTTCCTCTCCTAAAAAAGAGAAACTGTGTTTTTCCACCAAATGGTTTCTAGTTCTCCAAATCACCTTTAACACCTCCCTGGCTCTCCTTTTCTGTATCTAATCTGTTACCAAATCTTCTCAATTTTTCATTCACAATAATCTTTACTATCCTCCATTTCATTTTTAAATGGCCATGTTCTAGGACAGGTCTTCATTAACTATTACAAGCATACTTGCTATAGCCTTCTAGCTGATTCCTTTTTCCAAATTCCAATCTACCCTTTATCCTATTTCCTAAGTGTTTAACTATTCTAACACGTCAGTCTGCTGAAGAATACTCAGTAGCTCCCTAATAAGTTCAGAATAAAGTTCAGTTAACATATCCTGGCAGTACCAACATGTAGGGACCCATCTTCACATATAAAGGTCTGTCACATGTCCAGTTCAATGTTGCCTTTACTGATATCCTGAGTCAAAATGGAGCTCCCACTATTCACATATCCTCATGGTCATTTGCACTTCTCTTTCAAGAGTAAGCATAGGCTCTAATATTTTAACACTTTTTCCTGAAAATGCCCAATAGCCCATGGAAACAGTTTCAAAATACAACAGAGAAAATAGTTTTTTTTTAAGTTTTATTTCATTTATTGAAAGACAAAGTTACAGAGACAGAGAGAGGGAGAGACAAAAAAAGAGACCTTTCATCCACTGATTCACCCCCCATATAGCCATAATGCCTGAAACCAGGTCAGGCTGAAGGCAGGAGACGGGAGCCTCTTCTGGGTCTTCCGCACGGGGGTCCAAGCACTTGGATCATCCCCTGCAGATTTCCTAGGTGTGTTAGCAGGGAACTGGATCAGAAGTGGAGCAAGTATGAATTGAACCGGTACCCATACTGGATGTAAGCATCATAGGTGGTAGCTTTAGCTCAACATCCACCCCAGAAAAACTTTACTATTTTTAGTACACATTATCAATTAACTTTCATTATTACTGCCGTGAAAGACATTTTCTAAAACTTAAGAAATGTAACAGTTAAATTAAGTATTTATTCTTAAAGAAATTGAGAAATTTTTACTGTTTCTATTCTGATTTGGGAATCTAATAGAAAAGAGGAAATGATTAACACTATGTGTATCTGCTAGTCTCACCATCTTTGTAATTTATATGTCCCTGGAGCAGACTTTCTGTCTGTTTTTTTCTCATCATATGGTAAGGATGTGTGTGTGTGCATGTGTGTCTATGTAAACACACTTCATATTTAACACTCAGCAATATGAAGACATCACCCACTCCAAAGCCTCACCTACATCATTCTGGGCAAGTCTTTGGCGTTTCGAACCATCCAGATTGGCCATTTCAATCACTGACTTCTGGGCATCACACCAATACAGTTTGTCAGTCACGTAGTCAATTGTGATTCCACTGGGCCCAATCAGATCAGAACTGGCTATGATCGATCGGCCAAAGCCTTGAAGGGAAGAACTTTCAATGCGTGGACTGATCCCCGAGTCAGTCCAGAACAATCTCCTTTAATCAAGGAAGCACACAACAAACAAAAACTGTATGAAAAGGCACTTCCGCTCTTTCATCACTGCAAGCATCGATGCAAATCACTTCAGAATACATTAAAATGGCACAGGAAGGAATGTAGAAGGGAAAAATATAGCAGCATACTATACTACTGTGATCAAATGAAGGAGACTAATGGGAGGGGAAATGAGGGAGGGAAGTGGGAAGGAGGTAGAAGAAATCCTTATACATATAAAACTGTATCATGGAAAATAATAACAATAACAAACGCACCACCACTTGTTGAATAAGTAGCTTTGAAATGCAAAACAATTTATCTTGTATCTTGCTAAGAAGTGCTGAAATAAGGCTCAGATCACTAGATCAATGAATTATTTCTAAAGACTTTTATTTATTTAAAAGACAGAGTACTAGAGAAAGAAGGAAAGACAAAAAGAAAGATGTCTTGGGCCCGACGCGATGGTGCAAGTGGTTAAGGTCCTCGCCTTGCATGCCCGGGATCCCATATGGGCACTGGTTCTAATCCTGGCAGCCCCGCTTCCCTTCCAGCTCCCTGCCTGTGGCCCGGGAAAGCAGTCGAAGATGGCCCAAAGCTTTGGGACCCTGCACCCGCGTGGGAGACCTGAAGGAGGCTCCTGGCTTTGGATTGGCATAGCATCGGCCGTTGCGGCTCACTTGGGGAGTGAATCATGGGACGGAGGATCTTCCTCTCTGCCTCTCCTCTCTGTATATCTGCCTTTCCAATAAAAATAAAATAAATCTTTAAAAAAAAGAAAGGAAGGAAGGAAGGAAGGAAAGGAAGGAAAGGAAGAAAGAAAGAAAGAAAGAAAGAAAGAAAGAAAGAAAGAAAGAAAGAAAGAAAGAAAGAAAGAAAGAAAGAAAGAAAGAAAGAAAGCTATCTTCCATTACTGGTTCTCTCCCCAAATGGCTACATTAGCCTGAGCTGGGTCAGGCTGAAACTGGGAGTCAGAAATTCCACCAAGGTCTCGCAGTGGGTTAGCAGGAGCCCAGACACTTGGGCCATCCTCTGCTGCCTTCCCAGGCACATAAGCAGGAAGCTGGATTGTCAGTGGGGCAGCCAGGCCTCAAACAGGCATTCTGGTATGGACTGACAAGATTGCAAGCTGTAGCTTAACCGCATGTTCCACAATGCTGGCCTCACGGACTTTTTTTTTTTTAATCAAGTAGATAACTGTTGGCTTAAGTTTGAGTAGTGTATGACTTATGGCATACTTTGTTTCAAAAAGAAATTGAATTCATTTAAAATAGAAAGGTATTTTGGTAATAAAATTATTATTTAAAAATAGAAGTCCAAAGACATTAAAAGGTTGAAGAATACATGCAGTTCCATCACTTCTGAAGATTTCAACAACTTCCTTGGATTCTTCCTGCTTTCTGATCCCACCAACCACCTGAGCTCTATGGCAAATTCTGACCTGACACACGGCCTCTTTGTAGGGTCGCCTTGTCTTCACAACTACTTACTTGGCCATGGGATGAACAGCAATTCCTCGTGGTTGGGAGATATTCTCCTTTATGATTATTTCACGGTGTTTTCCATTCAAATTACTCCCTTCAATGAGAGACTTCCTAAAATGCATATAATATAAAAGGGTTTGTTTTCAATCGAAAATATTCCTTTTCCCTGTTCCAGTCATCAAGGATAGGCATTCTGGACTACTATTAATCCCTCTTTTGCTTTCTCTGTTAAACACATACACACATACACACCCCAACCAGTCCACAAATTCCATTTTTAAAAAAGCATGATCCCTTAATTAACCTCTGAGTATTCATCTCAGGAACTTAAAAAAATACCTTGACAGGATAAGGTAAAAAAAAAAAGGGACAGTGTCAGGGCCCTGGTGGGGAGGTGGGGACAAAGTCACACTGATCTCTTTCTCTTCACAGACCCTCTGCTGTAACTGAGGGAGGCCAGAGGCAGGAGAGGGGTCCAACTCTTGAGTTACAGACTCTTAGGAGGAATGACACAAAACAGCACAGAACGCTAGAGATTTTATTGGCTTTCACATTGTTTCAACTGAAATATTATTTGCTGCCTATTGTGTTTAAAAAAAATAATAATCTGGGGAGAACATTTAGCTTAGTGGCTAAGAAGTCGTTTTACATAACTATGACCCATATCAAAGTGCTTGTGTTTATGTCTGGCTCTGACTCGAGCCCAACGTCCTGTTGGTGTAAACCCTGGGGGATCAGCAGGCAATGGCACAACTGGCTGGGGCTCTGCCACCCACAAGGGAAACCTGGACTGGGTTCCTCTCTCCCAGCTTTGGCTTGGTCTAGCCCCAGTTGTTTTGGCAGGTGGGGAGAAAAGCACAGAATAGGAGAGCTTGCTCGCTCACTTGCCTGCTATTATTTTCCGTGTCTCTCTAAATAAATAAATAAATAAATAAGAATTAAACGTCACTCTTTGAAACCTAGAAAGAAAGAAAATTCTTATATTCCAGCTGTGCTACTGATTTGCCAAATAAATATTTATTATAAAGCAAATATTTACTGAGCATCTACTGTGTGCAAGGTATTAATCTCACACTGGGGACACAATAATAAACAAAACCCTGTCTCTACCCTACTGAAGTCATAGTTCAATAGGAATAAAGGAGAAGGGGAAGTAGAGGGAGCAGGGAGGGGTAGGAAGGAGAGACGACACAGCATCTGCAGGCACACGGAAGAGGAGAGAGTGGGTAGCCCAGCAGCGGCAGCAGAAGGACTCTTGGAGGTAATAATACAGCAGGATTAGAGGAAGGGAGGCAGGCAAAGATGGGTGGTAAAGAAAGCAGGCCTGAGAGGAAGAAACTTTTGGTACAAGTTCCAGAGATATAAAGAGTGCAGGATTGTCACAATTTCACTTAGGAAAGTTTGTTATATAGAGAAGATGAGGTAGGTAGGAAATGATTAGGGTGAAATGAAGTGGCAAAATACACACACACACACACACACACACACACACACACAAAGCAAGCATTGGCACTAAGAATAGAGAAAAACATATGGTTTCCTGTAATGTACAAGTTCGTAACATCCCTTTCAGGGGCTAACAAGTGATGCTGGCATCTCATAGCAGAGCTCCATTTCAAGTCCAGGCTGCTCTGCTTCCAATTCACCTTCCGTCTAATGCACCTGTAAAAGCAGGAGATGCTGGCCCAAGTATTTGGATCCCTGTCTCTTATGTGGGAGAGCCAGATATGTTGTGTGACTCCTGGCTTTGACCTAACCCACCCCTACAAGGAATAATCCAACAGATGGAAGATCTTTTGATGTCTCTCTCTTTCTCTCATAAATAAGTCTTTTTTCTTCTTCATCTTTGTCTTCTTCTTTTTATTCTTCTGAATCTCAAGAAAAGAAGCAAGGGATTCTGGAGAGTTTCCCGGAGCAGGTAGGGTACAACAGAGTGTAGCAATAGAGTGAAGAAGAGCCTCCTATTCCCACTCCAATGTACCTTCTGCTTGTTCCAAATTCTACAGGCTAGAGAATGTAACTACACTGAATTCATTCAACAAGCATCCATCAGGGTCTAACTACCTTGTCCCTGTGGACAAAATCAATAAGAGACATGCCCAGAAACAGAACAGGTTCATTCTCTGCTCCTCATTCTACAAAATGTCAAGGAAATTTTCTCCATAGCCTTATTCCAGTCCATCCTTAGCTGCTGAGTGGGGCACAGGGCTTTTCTGTGTACTCCTCCTCAAAGGACTGAAGCAAAGGGAAGCAGAGAGGAGACAGACTTGGGGCCTGTGTTGGGTCACAAACACTGACAATGTGAAGCAAGAGATCATCAAAAACTATCTATACTCCAACACTACTTTTCAGATAATTTTGTCTCTAGATGAAATGGAAGGGAAATTAATTGTGTTGAATTCTCTCCTCCCTTGGACGTAACTGTCACAGTGCCTCTTCCCCTGGTGGTAGGCAAGGAATTATGAAACTACCTGCTTGCTTGTGGCTAGGAGAGATGAAACTGTCAATTCTGATATTGCTATAATATTATCTCTAAATTTTTAAGCAAGAGTTAGAGGATAAGAATAGAGTATGACAAAAGAGTCTGACTGGTTCTCGCTAAAAACAAGATTGCTGGAATCCATTTTTCCAGAGCCCCAACAAGTTCCAACAGCCATACATTTCTACTGGCTTCAGATGCGCACAATGGCTACTTTATGGTGTTCAATTTCTCTCAGAAAATATCCTAAGGCACACAGCACATCTCACATTACCCTATGAGGGGCTTTCAGGTTAGCAGTTTCACTCGCAGAAGCAAGAGGACGGAACTCTGGCAACTTCTCTCTGCTCTGGTCCCCACCAAAGGAAGGGGCATTGTGCTGGATCTCCTGAACTTCCCTAGCAGGAGGATATTACAGCCGGAGTCAGCACATGGATTCTGGTCACCTGCACATTGTTTGACTTTGAATAACTCCCTTAGCCTCCCGGCTTTTAGATTTCTCACTTGTAAAATCAAAGGGTCAGGCCAGCTGAAACCCCTTCCATTCCCCGAGAGAGTTTGCACTGTTCTGTTGGCAATTATTTTCACATTGCTCTAAAAACATTTCTTGTACTATATTTAGACCACTCCATTTGTTGTATTATTATTATTAAAATATGCCTTATCTCTCAGATAATCTAAGGGTCAACTGAAAAGATGAGGCATGTCTCATGCTCCATGTACCATCTATGAGATCTAGCAGGTAGGTTTACACAGATCTTGGGTTTCTTTATTAACAGTGACCTGAACTACAAAAACACGTGTTATTTTCTTCATCCTAGAAATCCTTCTGTAGATACAAATCCAACACATCCAGTTTTTAAATTTTTTCATTGGGTCATTTTTACATATTTGAAAAGCATGGAGACAGAGACCTTCCACCCACTGGTTTATTCCTCAAATGTCCATAAGAGCTAGGGCTAGCCCAGGCCAAGCCAGGAGTCCAGAACTCAGTCTGGGTCTCCCATAAGGGTAGCACACACTCACACGAGAGCACATTAACAGGAAACTGGATCAGAAGCAGAGCCAGGACTCATACATCTGACAGTCCAATATGGGATGCAGGACTCCAAGCAGCATCTTTCTACTGTACCAAACATCTGTTCCTCTAGCTTCAAAAAAAATTTAATAAATCTTATCTCGGTAAAAGAGGGACTGTCTTGTTTGGAGAGAGTAGAAGTGTTAAGTAGCAATGAGGGCTTCCTTCCTCCAATTCCATCCACCTAGCCCGACAATATTTTTCTATCATTACAGCGGAGAATCAAATGAGCTGTATTACCTATCACATCACTCCCAACACACATAACTTAAAAGCTAATGCCACAAACCTACCCTCTGTCCGTCCAATAGAATCGACGGCCAATCCAGTCCACAGCAAGACCTTCCGGCAAATCTACTCCTTCTTCAATCAGCCTTTCTCTCTGGGAACCATCCATATTAGCTCTCTCTATCCACTTCAGGACTGTATGGGCAAAGTATATCTACAAAAGAGAACACAGGCTTTTCTGACTGAACTGGGGGAAAATATGGTATGGATCCAAATTGGGTTGGTAAGTTTTCAGCACCTACAGTGTAACTGCTAAGAGGGTGGTCTTGGAGATGGAGACGCCTGCAACAAAATTCCAACTTTGCTACAACTCAGAAAGAGTTGTACAAACAACCTTTAGCAAGTTACTCAGGTGTCTTGGCATCTCAGTTTCTTCATTGATCAAACAGGGGACAGCAATAGCATTAGTGTAATCACATGTACAATTACCCTTTGCCTTTTTCTGCATATCTGCTGTTACTGACAATTTCTTGATCTTTAATCATTAGTCAGTGGCACAGCCATTTTATCTCAACCCTAGTGATTTACACACACAAAAGTGAGCAAGACTCTGCAATTTAATGAGGACTGCAAACTGGGATCCATCTCTGCTCAAATCACAGCATTCCATAGCAAATCAGGAGACACCAATGCCTCTCCCAATTTTGCCACTTATCTGCTTGATTGCCAAGGCCAAGTCATTTAACCTGAACTTTCTAAACTGGAAAAATGAGAAGGTTGCACTAGAAACTTAATAAGGTTCCTATCATGTCTAATGTTACATAACTTTATTGCTATTACCTGGATTGTCCCACACAGTATCCTTTGTAAGTGCAATGTTCTTTTTCCAGTGCAGGTTCTCCAATAGGTACAAGTTTCATTAAAGTATTAAAAAATGCTAAGGGTCTGCCAACAATTTAGTGATAACATTTGTGGAATTTTAACTGTGATTATACAAGAGAACTTAAAAAACGTTGTGGGAATGAAATGAAATGGTAAGTTCTGGTAATTTTTTTAAATCCATGCATATATACAAAAGAACTTCAAAAGTTCATAGAAATTTGTATCACGAAAATTCCATGCAGGGACTTCAAATTTTTTAAAACAAAATAAATTTATCTTCTGATTCTATTCCCACATAAGCCATAAAGCTTCTTTCCTAATTTTCAGGGTAAAGAGATGATTGAATTCCATCCCCCTATCAATAATATATCTTAAATGCAAATTATGTGACCCTTACTAGTGTTACTATGTCCCCACTTCTCACTCCTTCAACTATCAACAAATGATCATAAACCTACTTATGGAGCCCCTTCCATGGGTATGGCTCTGTGTTCGCCTAGTCTGTTATATTGTCATCTGCAAAAAACAAACTAAAAATGTAGATCTTGCATGATCATTGCCAGTAAAATGGCTGAACCATAGCAAGAACAAGGGCACAGTTATGCTAGATCGAAAGTGCTTAAACTATCTCAAAGGATGCACTAGCATCTATTTTCAACTTGTTCCATGCCTGTTGGTCCTGGGCTTAGTAGAGGATTTTCATATAACAGAGGTCATTTGTTGGGTTCCTGTACTTGGCCCTCAAAGTGAGCATCTCTCCATGTCTGTTGAAGCAACAAAGCCATACCTTATTTTCCACAGGGTCATGATCTAGAGCAAAAACCATTCCCATCTGCTGGCTGACCAGGGTTCCATACTCTGTTCCATCAAAATGCATGTGTCGAACATCTTGAGAATTTGCAAACAGCAAAAATGGTGGTGGACCTGTCAGTAAGATTTCAGATATGGTTACATTGCAAACATACTTTAGAACCCAAGAGGTATTTCTGACTCCTCCCTTTCAGGGCACCCTCTTTAATTTTGGTAGTACTGTTTTTCTTAATTTCCCCAGCTTGATGTAGGTAAGTCAGGCAAGGTTGTCTTCCAGAAGGAGACCCATTGCCAGAGTGTCATCAGCAGGTCCTTCCCTCTCCTGGTGTCTACTTTTGAAATATAAATAAATTGTAAAAAAAAAAAACAGCATTGAAAAAAACACCATAATTAAATAATGCAAGTTTTAGGGCTATACCCTCCTCATTCATACACACTGCAACATACTAAAATCATACTAATGCTGAATAACTAACCTTTCCTGGCCTGGATACTTTCGAAAATGAGGTATTTTCAGAACTTGGTGTTACCCATGTTAATTCCAAGACCTTTAATTATACTTAGACACAGATACTGCAATTTCCTTGAGAAATTAACACAATTGGGTCTCATTAAAACATGCTACACAGCAGCGTCATTATAATATCCCAGAATAAAGCATACTGAATCTGCTGAAGAAATGAAATTAATCTAGGATTTCCAAAGCTGTTGAAAGACATAGGAAACGTGATCTCACAAAACAGAAAGACAGCTGAGGCATACAGCTTCTTATTGAATAATGACACAGTAAGGACAGGATTTGTCAAAGTATTACGATTATCACATTCACAGGAGAGATGAAAACCAAATCAATCAACCAAGATTCATCAACCACTTTCAAAACAGAAAGTGTTTTAAGATTGTTCTGGTCAGGACATTCTCATCCCCCACAAACATTATACCTGACACTATGTCAAATGGTTGCTGGATGCTAAAGAACTTAGAAATGTTCTTCAAAAACACATTTATGTATTACTTATGTTATTATTTATTCATGCTTACAATGTAACTGGTTTTCTATTTCCAATAATTAGAAATTAGACTTTCTACCCAGAAACTAAGAGAAATTCAACTGTCTGTGTTTCTAGAAGAAATGTTGTTTTCATATCATCTTTCTGCAGGGCCACACTTTGAGACAGTCACGGCACTGACCTGCAGCTGCACAGCTTTTCTGGTCTGGCTGTAGATCATACCCAGGCAAGCAATCACATTTCCAGGATACGGGACTGAAAGGAACGCAGAGCTGGCTACACCCGCCATTGTCAGGAGACGAACAGCCTGCAAAACACAATCGCTCAGTAAGGATGTTCTAATGATGATCCAAAACAGAACAAAGTATTGGGGTGAACCAACTATATGTAGATTTGTAAAGCCATAGACACGAACATGTGTACTGCTCTATAGTCAGGCTTATGTTGCAGAGGTCAGGAGCAAATGTCATAGTGTCCTCCTTTTGTATAACTCACCATCTTGGTGGCTAATGGCCCTTGTCCTCTAGAGCTACCACTAAGTTCAAGAATCAGCACATGTACAGCTGACTGGAATAAGGGACACATTTTGCTGAGTTTGGCAGCTGGTCTAGCTCTTCCTATGAGGAATATATTTTCCTCAGTTACATGTTTGGCCTGGGTGAAGCTGTCTGCCTCCTGCATCAGAGTAGTAATCATCAGTGGTCAGTTCTGCCTTCTGACTCCAGCTCCCTACCAAGGCAGATGCCCAGAGACAGTGGGAAGGCCTCCACTTCCTGGATCCTTGTCACCTCGGTGGGAGAATTAGACTGCCTTCCCAGCTCCTGGTTACAACGCCTGCCTAAAGTCCAAGCCACTGTGGGCATTTGGAGAGTGAGCCAGGGGACAGGAGCCTCTATCTAAAGAAAAACAAAAAAATAATCTTTTCTTTTTTTAAGGAAAAAGTCACTCCCGGGTCACTACATGGTAAAGTCTCTATGGAAATCAAGGAAGACAGGAATTTATTAGGTGTAAGGAAGAGGCCAAGCACTCAGTATCTGTCATCTTATTTAATCCAGTTGGCAATTATCAGTACCTCTACTGATAAAAAAACAAGACTGAGAGAGAATAAATAATTAGTCCCCAACCACACTGCTATTAATGGATAAAGCTATTACAAGGCCGTTTAAATTCAGAGTCCTTGCTCATAACCATTGCACTACGCGCTCAAAAAAAAAAAAAAAAAAAAACCAAAAACAAACCTGCATTTAAATCTGTGTACTAATCTTTTACTTAAACATCTTTCAGTGTGTAACATTAGAAAGTCAATTCTCCTTTGACAATAAGATCAAGTGTTAACTATGATTTGGGAAATATAAAGAAAATCTAAATAAACTCACCACTACATGTTTTTCCATCTTTCTCAAGCACGGAGCCTTCAGGACAGAAGCAAAGGGGACCGTCTGATGTCAGCACACAACCATGGCTGCACTCAGAGGCATTGCTAGGACAGGAAACTAGTTCTAATTTTTATAAAGAACAAAGTGGAATTAGTGTTGGGTTAGGGTTGTGGAAATTAATTAGTTTCAAATACAAAAATGTTACCATAAGCTTAAAATGACTAACTGTTGGGGCTAGCCTGGTGGCAGAGAGGCTAATCTTCCATTGCAAGGTGCTAGCATCCGCAAAGGGCAAAGGTTCTAGTTCTGGTGGCTTCACTTTCCCAACCAGCTCCCTGCAAGTGGCCTGGGAAAGCAGCGGAGGGTGGCCTAAGTCCTTGGGCCGCTGGACCCAAGTGGGACACCCAGAAGAAGCTCATGGCTTCTGGTCAGCTTAGCTCTGGCCATTGTGGCCATTTGAGAGATAAAACCACAGATAGAAGATCTCTCTTAAGATCTGCCTTCCAAATAAAAATAAAACTTTAAAAAAAGATTATGAAAAGCTGTAGTCATAGTCACAAAATAAAGAAAAAAATCAAATAAAAAACTAAACCTCTGATTTTTGAAAAATCACTCTACTTGTTTCATTTTTTTTAAATAAGATTTTTTAAATTGTTAGTCATTGAAATTTCAATATATTTTAAATGAAACTTGACCAAATGATTGAAAACTAGAGTGATTTTGTGGGTTTGTTTATATTTAGGAAGATAAAATAAGAGGCTCTTAACAGATATCAATGTTTCATACAAGTGCAATCAATAGATAGCTGGGAATAGGTACAAAAATAGGTTAATAGGACAGAGCAAAGTTAAATCTAGAAAATAATGAAGTATGTGTAAGAATGTACTTTTTAAAATACTGTACATATGAAAGATCATTCAATAAGTGTTGGAGAATAATTGAGTGGTGATTTGGGGTCAGGGGATCTAAATCCCTATCCTGTATCATGTATCAAAATGCATTCAAAGTAAATCAAAGGCTTCAATATAAAATATGTACCATAAAAGTTTTACAACTTTTGAGAATCACGTGAGATTATGTGTGAAATGTCTGAAACATAATGGATCCTACAACACAGTAACACCCTACACTTCAGTATATTTGCCAATAGGCAAATCATGTAGTATCAAGAGAGGGCCAAGTTTCACAGACAGGCACAGCTACTAGAGAATTCCCAAGAAATCTATTAGTATTCATCCATTTCCATGTGCCTGGTGTCACAGGCACAGATGACAGAGTTGTTCTCCATCATTTCTGAAACCCAGATAATATACATAATCTAAAAAATTCACTTCTATGTAGCCATGTTAGTCTATTTGATAAGAAACACATTAGAAGGTATTTGAATATGTTTTTCTAAATTTGAGTTGGTATATCTATAAATGTCTAACTTTTTCACTTTTTTGTACATACATTTTTAGCTTTAAAGCTCCAAAAGGCCCAGGAACTAACTGGTAGTAAGACTGTAGCATTTAAAAGCAATTTCTCATTCATAAGAAGCCGTGCTCCTTGAGAAATGTTAGGTCTAGATATTAGCTCTAGAACATGAAATGTGTGAGATGAGTCTATAAAATACATCCACGGGAAGTATCAAAGACTGCTGGGGTCAGGCACCCCTTGAGAAGGCTCCCACTAGCCAAGGAAGATAAGATCTGCTTGTGAGTTGGAATAACCGCAGTGTGTCAAAGTATTTTTTACATTTTTTAATTCCAGTAAGTCAAAAATGCCTAATTTTAAAACAATTTAAAAAAAAAATTTTTTTAATTGGAAAGTCAGATATACAGAGAGGAGGAGATACAGAGAGGAAGCTCTTTCATCCACTGATTCACTCCACAAGTGGCTGAAAGGGCCAGAACTGAGCCAATTCGAAGCCAAGAGCCAGGAGCTTCTCCAGGGTCTCCCACATGGGTTCAGGGACCCAAGGCTTTGGGCCGTCCTCGACTGCTTTCCCAGGCCACAAGCAGGGAGCTGGAAGGGAAGCTGGGCTGCCAGAATTAGAACCAGCACCCATATGGGATCCCAATACATGCAAGGCAAGGACTTTAGCTGCTAGCCTTCCACGCTATGCCCCCAAATACCTAATTTTTAAGAGTACTAACTGGCCACCTTAGGAAAGTATTCACATACTAAACCATTTGCTATATGTAAGTAAATAAAGAAAAAAAATCTAATACTTATTTGGCCTTTATTATAAGAATTGCATGAAGGCTTATTGCTAATATGGCTGAGGGGTTGTTTTGTTCATCTCTAGCAAATGGCTTTTTCTTGTTTCGATTTAAAGTTTTTTTGGTGCCAAACCTAATTTTTTTTCTGTGAATTTTATCTTTTTGCACTTTCTAGTCACTTGTATTTTTCTCAGTGAGTCCTTGTGATTCATTAATTGATCATCCATAAGAAACTTTGATTGTTTGTTAGCACCTGAGGTTGTAAAAGTCCCTTTCAGTACTGTTTTTGCTACATCTCGTGGTCAATGATGTTCTTGTTTGTATTGTAATTTCTTCAACGCCACATGGGCCGTGCAGTAGCATCAGTTTCTACCAGAAGGCTTTTGATTTTCTTTTTATCACCTTAGCAGCGCATTGGCAATTCTGTAACATGTTGCTTAACTTCATGTTGATGTAAACTTTCTGTTTTTCTCCTTTTTGTAAACTGTGTTTTCTGGTTCTGTGTTTAAGGGGATGTATAACAGAAGTGTAGCGGAGACTGATAAGTCTAAATGTGGTGACATAGTGCAGTATGTCTCTCTGCATCCAGAACAAAGATTAACTCCCAGTGAAACAGTTGAAAAAACCCTGACAACAGAAGCTGGACTCTATGATATTGTCTATGCACACAATGTCAGGAAACACTTCAACAACAGAATGATGGACTTAAGACTAGCAGAATACCCATCGTAATACCACAGGGGAAATCAATGGGGGGGGAAGGGACTTGGGGAGGAGGATGAAAAATCCCAGAACCTATGTAACTGTATCACAAAACAATAATATAACTAAATAGGATATGTATATGTACACATTATAGAACTCATCTATTAATTCGTTCATTAGTACATGAATTTATTTTTCACTTTAATGAACTAATACTTATTATGTAAAAAAAACCCGAACTGCATGAAGGTACTTCAAAACACTCATGATAAATGAAATTATAAGGTAGATTTATTTTGGTGCCAAAAATTCCACATAATTTTTTTCGTGATGTACCTTTTCTGTGAATTGTCTGAAGATTCCTATATCTTGAGACAACTAGTCAATGAAAGCTCTCCTTATAATGACATTCCAATTAACAATCAAAAAGAAATAGCACAACTAGAATTTCTTTCTATGACGCTCTTAATGAAGCAATGGATCTAGTAAATGATTGCTGCAAACATCCACTGAAAGACTTCTGGGGAATTGTACAATGGATGTATGAACATATTAGCTAACGGTGAGAAAGAACCTCATGTGTATCTTGATCAAGTACAGACATCTCATTGAAGGATTCCTCCCCAGAATGTCAAACCCGAACTTGATCAGCCTGCCGATCTAACAAAAAATTTGCAGAAAACAGAGACATCACAAAGGTCTGATTAGCAAATGAGTTGAAAAAAAAAATGGATAAAGAAGGGAGTCAATCCCTACAGTCAAAGAGAGATGTATCAGGCTACATAAAACACGAAGCTTGTCTGAATATCTCTTAATGCAAATCCCAAAGATTTTAAAGAAAGCTTTGAGATAACAGGAGAATTTTGGAAACTGATTAGAAAGTTGATGTTATTAAGGAATTATAGTTGATTTTTAAATATAACGATATTGTGCTTAAACCTGAAAATTGACTGAATATTATTTTTCAGAATGGAGAATTCATTATTTTTTTAGATATAAAAGCACATCAGGATTATTTTCCACATACTCATCTTTTGGAGATAACCAATGAAATACAAGATAACATGTTAAACACACAGGAAAGCAAATCTCTCTGTTTCCCAATTCTTTGTGATATAATCGGATTGTTCCAGGCATCCTTGTTTTTAAAAACAAAGCACTACAAAATTCTAAGATAATTCTGATGCTCGCTGCTGATGGATGAGCACTAACCCAGATCACTATGGAAACATTATGGACAATGATGCGATAAATACTAGCTGCTGTGACTTACCATGACACCGTTTCCCATCTGGAAGCAGGACAAATCCTACTGGACATGTGCAGTAATAGGATCCAAGGATGTTTTCACATCCCAGAGAACAGCCATGATTCCAAAAGGCACATTCGTTTACATCTGTACGACAACAGCAACAAAGCACAGATTTTTTAAACATACAAACTTATATTTAATATCAGTACAGAGTAGTATATCTCCTACTGCTTCACTTTGTAACCGACCAATGAAAGGCTGACAGTATTTATAGCAAAGGGTGACAGAAGTCAGCTTAATGTTGATGCAAATATTTTCTGTCATAGTTTACATTTTCAAATATATTTCAATATATTTCAAATATATTTCCACACTAAAGTGACCTTGGCGAGGGGCGGGTATTGTGGGGAGAGTGGTATTATTTCTCTCCAAAGGTTACAGCATTCTATTTAAGTTATAAACTGTGGAAAGTTCCTCACCCACTTAGGACACTTTCTGCTGGCAGGAGGAAGCCTTCCCCGAAGTGTGGGAAACTTTCCCAGCAGCCTTTCTGCTTTTATTTCTAGGAAGCATGACATTTGCTACTGGAGCAGGAGACCGTAATTAACAGGTGTATGCTAGATTCACCTTTGTCTCAGTCGACTAACTACTGTAGCCATTGAATTCTTCTTCTGAGTCAACTGCTGCACCTTGCAGGTGAAACAACAAAGTATTTCTCCTGGGTGCATTAACTAGAAAGGCCCCTATCCCTTTCAGGGATAACCTATGAGAGATTCCTACTACTTCTCGGAAAGGTTAAGATTAGCTCTGGCACCACGCCCCTACAGAGAACCACATCTTTCCCATCTTTTTTCAGTCCTTGATTCTTCAACACAAGATATAAAGAAAATCAGAAAGACCGAGAGAGTGCGCGCAAGCGAGTGTTTTTGGAGCGAGCTGGGGTTGGACTTGAAACTGCTTTCCCGCGAGTTTAGGGGAGCCGCGCACCCTGAAATCCAGGTTCCTGCCCGCCCCGCCCCGCGCCCCTGACCTTCGCAGGACTTCCGGTCTCGGCTTAAAGTGTAGCCCTCCGCACATGCGCACTGGCCGGACTTGGGGTCTGCACCGCACACGCTTCCCGAGCATTTTTCCTTCCTGGGGTTGCAGAGTTTCTGTTCTGATGGAGAAGGAACAGAGGTGTGTTTGTACGGGTGGTCAGGCTTCTCTCCCCGTGGTTAAGAAGTGGACTAGGTCATGTGGCTCTAGTTGGGATCCCCAGCGTCTGCAGCCGGCGGAGTCTCTAATTGTTGTTTGCCCAAGCAGCTCCCGGATTAGGGCATTTTAGTCCCTTGGAGATGGCATGCCCCCAGGCTGCAGATAAAAAGCTCAATTTGCTAACTTTTTTGTTCTGCTTTTTTTTTCTTTTCCAGAAAGGTACTGTGGATTGTGAAAAGGAAATTTTTAAAGCTTCAAACCTCAAAATAAGTAATATTTATAGTCCAGATCTAGTTGATATTATGTTTTTACAATCTTTCTTTAAAGAACACCTTTTAGACTTAAATACCGTTGCCCTGTGCTTTACTCCCAATTTCTACATTTACTGCATTAAAATCTCCCAGAGTAAATATAAAATTTGATCCATGAAGTGGGTGGTTGGATTGAACTAGTCAAGCTGACTGAACGATGGTTGATCAACTTAGTGCATTTGTTTTTCAGAGACAGCATCAACAGCTAATTTCTGGTTCAAAAAATTAGGATCTTTGATTCTTTTGCTTCTTTTTCTTTTCTTTTTTTCTAGTTTTACCAATGACAAAGGCCTTTGTAAGGGGTCAGCTTGAGTGTGAGGGCAGGTGTCCATTATGCACAGAGATCAGGCACGAGGTGGAAGATCGGGGTCCTGGGCCCCAGGGTCAGCTAAGGCCAAGGGCCAGTGGAGACTGCGTGTCCTGGGGAGAGCCCAGGGCCTGGGAAATGACCTGAAGACAGACGCAGTGTGTGAAAGATACAAGAATCAAAGCCAGAAGTCTCCACTCACCTATCTCCCATCTCTGCCTGCTCCATCGGATTTGACTTATTCCCTTGTTTCAAGCCTTGTCAAGGATAAAATTTCAACAGTGATCTAATTTGTTTTTATTTGGGACAGAGTTAGGAATCAGTATTTTAATTATTCTGGTAGTTTTCAAATTCACACTTTGGGAAACAAGCCTAATGTACTAATGAAACATTCTACCTTCATCTTAATTACAAGCGACTACTTTTAAGTACTTTGCAATCTTTTCTAGGCTGTTTTGAACCTGCTTCTCCAAATCTCTTCACCATTGCAACTAAAGCAGATAAGATTACATTAAACACATTTGGAGACAGATGTTGTGGTGTACTGGGTTAACCACCACTTGGAATTGCCAACTCAATTCCCCAAGTGCTTCACTTGTGATTTGGCTTTCTGTTAACCTACCCGGAAGGAGCAGGTGGTGGCCCACGTGCTTGAGTTCCAGCCAGCATCTGGCTGTCCCCTGGCTTCAGCCTGACTGAGCCTCTGCTGTTGTGAGTATATACACAGTGGGTTAGGGGAGGGAGCGTTCTCTTTCTCTCTCTCCATGGCACTCTACTTTTGAAATAAAATTAACTACTAAAAATGCTTTAAGACTATCGAGATTTTAATTAAGCCAAAGAAAAAATAAAATGGCCCAAATTTTTATAAAAGTAGAGTGACTAAAATTAGAAACAGGTAAATTTGTTGGAGATAAAATGTTCCCACTTTTGATTTTTTTAAAAGACTGGGTAAGTACTGGATTAGGAATCAGAAAAACAGATTTATGTTTTGGTTCTGCCTTCTGTAACAGATCACTTTATGTCTTTGATGTTCATGTTCTAATCTGTGAAATAAAACTGTTGAAGTTGATAGTTCCTGAGATAGGGCCTTTAAAATTGATTGCTCTAGACAGAATTCAGTCTTTGTGGTAAATTCCTCTAACTTTATTCCTCTAAAAGTTCTCAGCCTTAGTTATTGTTTATAATAGAGTAATGAAGAATCCAAGTGACCAAAAAGGAAAGCAACTGGTGTCTGGGTATACTGAATGCTCCATATACAAGTGCTCCATTCTCACTCTCGATCCAGTATTAGTTTTTCCTGTACCTTTCTCCTATCTCTTACCTGGACTTACAGGTGTTGTTGTCATCATGCCTATTATCACCATCACATTGCCATACGTACATCTTTTCTCCAATGTCTGATCATCTTCCAAAGATAAGGCATGTGTTCTGTTCACATTTGGGGTCCCTCTAGCCCCTGAGGATACCACCTTTCAGAACACAAGTGTACAGCATGTGCAACAGAGGCCCCCAAACCTCTGATCCTTTCACCTGCATGCTGAATATTTAATTTCACCTTAAATCTGTGGAAGACCATAGAGACGGTGTTCAGCTTGTCAGGTGGTGCCAGACTAGCGCTCTGCCACTGGTCGCTGAGTGGTACAGCAAAAATGTTAATGATATACATGAGTTCACTGAGGAGCAGAAAGGAGGCAAGTAATTGCTGTTCTTTGCATGGCTGAGCTGCTGATGTGACCTGAATTCAGACACTAACCAGTTTAAAAGGCTGTTTTAGGAAGGGATCGCACAGGAGATTGTGGGTTATGTATTTGTTTAATCCCCTTAACCTTCTGCTGTTCTTTAGCAGCCCCAAATGCTGCTGCTGACCTCAAATAACACAGGTCTCAGCTCAACTTAATGCCCTATGAGATCAATTAAAGCTCCTAATCAGGGAGTTGACTGTGCATTGCCAACTGCGCCTCCAATCGTTTGCCTGCTGCACACGCCAGGCACTGGTAAGCTTCAGTGTAGCCAAGGAAGTCTGTTACAGCTTTTACCCTGGCCTAGTTCTCAAACAGCATGCGTGGGATTTGCTGTTTAACTTTCTCCCAACTGATCACCTTGTTTTTTCCAACCTCTAATTCTGCACAAGACTCCCGTCATCAACAAAGCCAAAAACAAAGAAACACTCTCCTATTCACTTGTCTCAAAATATTTGGTATCTCCAGTATTTAGCACATAAAGCATTTGAATACCACTTTATCAGGTGTCTACATTCTCCCATTTAATTTCCACAATAAGCACCTGTGCTAGTAATAAAAACAAGCATCATAAATTTCATAGATTAGAAAACAGTAGCTTATCAAAAAAAAAAAAAAACTTAGGCAATAAGGAGGAGAATGGTTCCTGAGCCTGACCCCACATCTTCATCACCACTTGTAACTATGTGTGTGTGCATATACTTGTATGTGTGGAAATACACATGTATATATGTGGAAAGTGAGTTCAGAGCTTTTCGCAGAATAAACATCATTGAATTTCACTTCCTATGAACTTTTTGAAGTATTCTCATATAAATAAAAATATATACACACACATATGAATGTATTTACATCGATGTATGACATTAATAACTGTGGGCTTTATGAAATATCTATGAAAAACAGCTACACTTTAGTGTTCTTTTTAAAGATTTATTTATTTTTATTGGAAAGGCAGATATACAGATAAAAATGCAATAAAAATAAACAAATCTTAAAAAATAGAAAATTAAAATAAACACAGGCTTCCTAGCCACACTTGCAGAGACCAGCAAGGTATTAGGGCTGCCAGCAACAAAGAAGACACAAGGAGTCAGACGGAGAAGAGGAAAGGGGAGAGCAAGGAGAAAGACGAGGAAAAGAAGATGAAGAAATCCCAAATAATCTAAGAGACATTTCAAGTTGCAGCTTTTTGGTGTCAGGGCAAATCTGGACCAAAAACTCCACTTTACCAAAATAGTCCTATGCTCCTCCAGTGGTAGGCATCCTCCATACAAGTGACTTGAGTCACTAAGAAAATGGCAGTAATTGCAAATATTACCAGGACAATATGGTAATCCACAGTTTAGAAAAATTTCTATGGCAATAACAGAACTTTGCATGCTTTAACTGGTAGTGAAGAATTATAAGAAAGAAAAATATTCATCTTTAGGATGATTCTTTCCTAAAGTTTTCCAAATAAACAAAGGTTTTACGGTAGGCATGCCAGCAACAAACAATAAACTGTAAAATGCACAGAAGTTGGGCTTGAAATAGTGTCATTAACAATAATGTGTGCGAGAGAGATTCTTATAATTGTATAGCTGTCAGGAGAGGTGACTAGGAATTTCAGTCATGCCCAACAAACATGTGAGAACAACTCCAGGTCTGTTTTCAGACGCCAGAGAAGAGAGGGGTGGGAGGGGAGAGGAGAGAGTTTCTAATTAGGAAATTGAAAAGAGAGAGAGAAATAATGTTTTATCCCCAAGATCTATGAAAGCTGAAGCATTTTAATCAGCAAGTAGCCATGGATATACAAAGATAGGCCATATTACAAATTTTTCTCCCGACAACGCAAGTCGAAGACATGAAATGATAGATTGTCGTGGAAGTACAGTTAGAGGGCAAGCATGGTATCACTTCTTGGATTCAAATTCAGTTTCCACCTGTAGCACCCACAGTGACATCTCTTAATTTCATTTACTAATGATATAAAATGTTAATAATCACACTTAATCCATGGGGTGTTCTGAAAACTTAATGAGGTAATGTAGGAAAAGCTCAGAGGAACTAACTCTGCATACAAGAACCATGGCTCTTTCTGTCAGGAAGGCTATATATCCTTAGAATACATTTTTGAAGATTGCTTCTTTTTTAAAAAAAGATTTATTTATTTTTATTGCAAAGTCAGATACACAGAGAGGAGGAGAGACAGAGAGGAAGATCTTCCATCCACTGGTTCACTCCCCAAGTGGCTGCAATGGCTGGAGCTGAGCTGATCTGAGGCCAGGAGCCAGGAGCTTCTTCCGGGTCTCCCATGAAGGTGTAGGGTCCCAAGGCTTTGAGCTGTCCCCAAGCCACTAGCAGGGAGCTGGATGGGAAATGGGACCACTGGGAAAAATTAGAAATGATGCCCATATGGGATCCCAATGCGTGCAAGGCGAGGACTTTAGACACTAGGCTATAGCACAGGACCCTGAAGATTGCTTCTTACGGAATTATTCAGAAAAGAGTGGCAAAGGATAATTTCTTCTATTTTGTCAATTCTTGCTTATGAGAGTCCTTTAGGCATTGAAAACACAATGAAAAGTGGTATCTCCTGTTCTCCTGAGACCTTGACATTTAGGAATACAGACAATTTTGACAAAGCAGGATAAGGGCCACATGATTGGTGCTGCTTTCTGAGGAAACAGAACTGGGACGGCAAATGCAGGCTCCCAGTGGAACTGGTGAAGAAGCCTTGGGATTTTATCCCAGCGGCCGAGCAGTAAGAGCTGGTAAGAAGAGGACAAAGAGCCTTCCTGATCTTGCTGGCAAGCGGTTGAAACAGAGACTGGGAAATAGAGATGGAGGATGATGCTGAGAAAGGAGCAGGGGGTCTGTGAACTAGGTGAAGGACTGAACTTTGAGGATTGCAAGTTGAGAGTGATCAGTGGGTTTCCACCAGGCAATAACATGATTGAGTTTTCATTCGTTAAGGCTTACATCCCATGCAGCACAGTCAAAGAGGCAGGGAGAGCCCTTGGGGGCTCCTGCAGTAGATCTTTGTAGCCCAACACTCACTATGTCTCAGATTCTGTTCCTTGTTGAATATCCTAGAACACCTTTTGGATCCTAGAAATCAAAAAGGAGACCAAGGCTAGAAATAACAGGTGCAAGGGGCATGTGAGAAGTACATAGGAAATAAACCAGAGAAGGCCAATCAGTAGTAGTTAGCCCCAAGGGGAAACACTACACATACCATACCACTGGTTCTGAGAACTTCCACTTGAGAAGCAAACAACCAGTTAAACTTGACTGAGTCTGGGTCTTCTAGGTCACTTCAAAGAACAGCATCATAAATTTCCATACCATTTAAATTTTATAGAATACACTTCAAGAAAAAATAGCTTAGGCGCTTTGCCAAGATAAGTAAGTATAGAGAAATTCTTACTGGTATAAATGTTTGTGTGTTATAACAAAAGTAATATCGACCAGATGACATGAGTTTTCTCAGTTATCAACATAGCTTTATATGAAATGCCTCTTAATCCCAAGTGCCAGTGTTCACTTCTCCAGAGAGGCAGCAGCCACACACATAATATCCTTAGGGAACTGACCACCTTCTAGAGACATGTGATTTTGAATTTGAAAGCCATCAGACACATGAAAGCCTGATGAAAATGATCCACCATTTCCTTAGTTGTTACAATTGTATACTTTCAATTATTATCAAGTAGAGTTTCACAGCCCACCATATCTCAAGTGCAGAATCCCTGCTCTCTGAAGCACTAATGAGTGATGCCCAAATTCACAGTGCTCATGAAACCAAACGCTTATCTCACACAGTGTGTATGTGAAGCCCATCCTAGGAGCCTATGTGAAGCCGATCTACAAGACCAATTACCTCCTAAATCCCAGGTTGAACTGTGGCTTTGCAGTTGACAGAGACTGCTCAAACTATGGTGTTTCTGCTTAATAAGTCACCAGGGATTTTCTTCTGAAATGCAGGCTATCCATTAGTTGATTGCAACTCCACATCAAAGAGGTTGAGTCACAGTGAAGGATTCCAAAGAAAGAATGTGTTTGTGGTAGAAATAACACTAAATAGGAATCTCCTCCCTGCAAATCCAGCCTTAACTAGCCATGTAATCCTGGAAAAGATTCTGTTTAGATTTCTCATCTAGAGAAGAAGCATATTTTTTCCTTCCTTCCTTGTCCCACAATATTATTGTATTGAACCCATAATAAAATGTCAATGAAAACACTGGAAACTATGGGGCCACTTATAAATGTGAGAGATGATGCTAATGATGGCAGCCTTAACTGTCACTGCTGAGACAAAGGGACTTGCTTTTTTAGCTCCCTTTGGTGCAGTTAGTCATCACCACTCTAGACATGAGTTGAATTTGCAGTCAGTATGAGTCAAAATATTCCACAGCCTTTCTGTGCGAACTCTATTCACCATTTGATTTAATAGTATTGCCACTAGGTTGTCACTATGTGATGTAGTGCCACAACTCATAGTTAAATATAAGTTTTTCACAGCTATTGCTTTGTAAATTCAAAAGCAATTTAATAACATGCACCATCAAATGCTTCATCCATGGGACTTTTTTGAATTCTAAGAATAGCTTGTACCAACATATGCTTCATGCATGGGATTTTTAAAAATTCTTTGCAGATTATATTCACTTGCATGGAAAACATAGCTATTATAAAAGTTAAATTACAGTTTCTATCTAGGTTTTTAAAGCAATCAGAGGAAAAGCATTATCACTGTGAGCTTCATGCCCAAGGATATAAGAAAGAAAACCCTGGAGTCCCCCTGAATTCCAGCTTCCTTTGCATAATCTCAAGCCTGTCCTGTTCTGTCACCACAGTACTCTCCAGGAACCGTGTCCCGGGCAAGCGTGAAGATGTTTACACAATACTTATGACAGGGAACTGTCATCCAAAACATTTTCCACACAGTTAGCAATCCTGAATGGTATCTAACAGGAAGGATGTAGAGGAAACAATTTCCTTTTTGAAATAAAATATTTCTATAAGGGTGATATGTTAATGTAGCATCTTTATGTTGTATCTAAGCCATCTTGAGCAACTTAGCAATTATAAAAAAAATATTTAAAAGCCTGGCAAGTAATTAGTAAGTAATTAGCAAGTAATTCGTTCAAGTAATTATATGTTAAAGATTTCTGAGAAGAATTACTCTGGCAATAGAAAATAGAAACTATAGCTAGATTTAGTTATTTTTTAATAGTATCTGTAACCTAAAATTTTTTTATTTATTTACAAATAGCCACTTATATACATTTGGGAATTAAAAGTAAGCATGATTTCCATTTGTATAACACTTATATTCAAGTAAGAAAGAGAATCAAATTGGATGAAATTGATATGCGACTGAATTTGTGATGGGTTCAATGATGGATGCATCAGACAAGAATAGGAGATAAATGGCCCATTTTGATTAATCAGGGTAGGACTATCTGAGGACATGACATTTAATCTTAGAGCTTGAAGATAAGTCTGGGCCAACAGAGGAGAAAAAGGTTAAAGGCAAGAAGGAGTTGCATTGTTGTACGTCTGCAGGAAGGCTTGCAATATATCCTAAGCACAAAAATGAATAAATCAGTTTCAGTATTTAGAGGCAAGAAAGGAAAACAGAAAAAATCAGTTAGTGGCTGTTATAGCAGACCAGACAAGAAATGCTGGATGTTTGGGACATGGTGCTGGAAGTGGAGGAGAAAGGTGTCAGCTGAAATACACCTAGGAGGTAGAATGGATAGATTTCATGGAAGATTTGAAATAGAAAGCAAGGCAGTAGGAAACATCAGAGATGAGAAAATGCTACTGCAAGATAAGGATTGTCGAACTGCAAATAACTAAGGGGCAGTCAGGGGTAACCGCCACTGGCCCATAGTAAAACACAACTTTACAAACATAGAGGGCATCCCCTCTCCCCTCCTAAACACAGAGAACAAATGTTAACCACTGACATCAATTTTTAGATTCTAAGGCCTAGAGATTATTCTGGAGGAATCCACATTACCAAACTCCAGCTAACAAGCCTATATTTGTGATCTTTTTTTGTCCTCTCCTAAGTTGCTACCGTTGGAGGGTCAAAATTATTTTCCTTCCTCTGTCACTTATCTAAAAATGCACCATTCTTTCCTAAACATGCTTTCTGAGCTGGAATTCAAAGTCACTTCTTTAAGAGCCATTCATTCCAGAGTGTCTGCCATGTCTAGGTGAAATACATGTTAATACATGTCTACTGGCTTTTCACTTATTTCTCTTGCTGCCAGGTTCTAAGAATTTACAACAGCTGAAGGAAAAAATCTATTTTACTGTACATCCCGTGCCTGGTTGAAGCAAGCAGAAGGGTGAGGAGTACGCACCAGGCCCTGTGGGAGGTCAAGGTCACTCACCAGGCCTCCAGGCATCGTCCATTGCTTTGGGCTGTACAAGAGGATGTACTACTTTCAATGCACCTGGTGGCACAAATGACGTGTTGAGGTTAATTTTAACCATATCCTTCCCAGTGTGCTTGTTGGCTATCCAAATTGTCCTCTTTTCCCATGTCGAATAGAAGATACGGTCACCAAAAAGGGTCATTGCAAACAAATTGTGCCTAAAAAACAAACAGGGGGAAAAATCCATTACATGGCAAAGCACTTGTAGCCTGACTTGTTAATGTTTCATGCTATTTCAATTTCTTGGCTGACTGTTAATCACCTACCTTTGCAATAATTTATCATTTAAGTCTAGAAAATTTTATTAATAATTTCATTATAATCTGAACTAAGTAGATGTCAGTTCTAGTTCCAGTCCCATTGTCTCATCTTCTCTTTGCAGCCATCACAAAAGTGATGAAAACGGAGAAGAAAATAGGAATAGAGTAAGAATGGATCCCAGTTATATCAGTTCCACATTTGGGCCTCTTCGCACAAGTCTGTCTGCCAACTGCCAGTGTGCTACACAATTATATAAAACATGAGTACATCACAAAATGTGTGATAATCATTCCAAACACATTAACTTTGACTGCCATGTGGGAAGTTATTCTATGCCCAAATCTATTATTTTCATTTGCGTTTATTTAATCTTTATAATAAACAACAGTGACAACAACAAAAATCCACGCTTACCACCCCCACCTTAAAGAAAACTGAGCCTAAGAAAAGTTATGGAAACCATACAGAGTCACCTGTCTAGTGAAGAATAAATCTGGAATTTGAATTCCAGTCCTCTTGGACTCGAAATCTCCATGTCAAACTACTCTACCAATTCAGCTACCAAAAGTAAAATTAGTTCACCACACTAACTTCAAACGATGACTGCTTTATTTGATACCGAGAGCAAAACTTACTGTGCTTGGGGTCTGCTGCAGCGGACAGAGCCCCCATCATAATCACAAGAGCAGATTCTAGAACTGCTTGCATCTGTGCTGAACCCAATCCAAAAGAGCCGCCTATCAAACACATCCAAGGACGCAGCAGGTATTTTCTGTGGCATTTCCAACAGAGTCTTCACTTTAACACCATTGAGGTCGGATCTGTGAAGGCTGCCAGGCATTTCTGAAGACCAAAATATAAACCTAAAGACAAACACATTCCACAAACCCATAACTGAGTGTACCACCATCAATCACTTAAACAGCCAGCTTGTTCAGTGTTCAGCAGCTCCAAACTTGTGCCGAAGATGAGCTTGGCTACTTTGAATGAAAATTCAATTCAACAGGTATGTATTGCTCTTTTATGGAAATGCAATATGATAGCAGAAAGCCATACTAGTTAAGTAGTGTTTGTAAAGGGAGCCTGACTTGAATCAAATCCAGGCTACTTCTTTGCTGCATATGCTGGAGAAGAGGTCCTGGAAAAGAGGACCTTGCCCTCAATCGGAAGGTTCCTTTTGAGTTCAAAATGTTATGATTCTGCAAGTTGTAATTAGAGGTTGAAATGTATTTCAGTGTCTGAAAACAGAATTTACCTTTCTACTGGATCAACTGCTATATGTGCAGGATATTTTAAGGCGCTTAAAAGAACGTAGGAATAGTTTCCTTTCATATCTGTTACTGTAATGATTCCTTCCTGTTGATTTAACCAAATAATTTCTTCATTTATCCAATTTATTGCCATTCCAGAAACATTTTTCTCTATATTGCACACTTTCTGTAAAATCAGATTTCAGAATTATTATTAGCATTCCCCCATTCATAGTCAAAATGTATTAGTATGTACAATAAGTCTACTATTTTAAGTGCTTGTTATTTCTACATATCCCCAGTTTGTTTAAGTGATAAAATGGGCACAGATACTGTGTATTCTGCTGCAGCAAAATAAATTCCCCTCACATGGATATTTCTTTGGCACAGGATTTTTACAATGCTGGCAATTCCTATAGACACTGTTGAAATTAAATAATTCACTGTAAAATATTGATAAGTTCACCTATAGTAACAGTAAATCTCAATGCTACATTCAGGATTGTCTATTCAATTTCCTTTCCTAATTGTATTTTCTGACTCCTCCTCTGAACTCATGTTCAAATTTTGCCAAATTCTGGCAAGACTCCTTTGAAATTCGAGCAAGGCGTTATGAAGTCGATGAATCTCTCGGACCCCTCTCATTCTACTGCCCATGATGTCCTCATCCTATAACTAGTGTTCCAAGGTTTATCTTTCTGCTCCTTGAGTTCTATTCCTCACTGTCTCATGACAGAAACAACTAAACAAAGCCTCCCTTAATTCCTAACTCTAACAAGGAACAGGAAAACCAATCTTTTGGGGGGTTGGAGAGTGCAAAGTAAATAGAAGCCCTGATTTATACAATTGGAGATTTCCATGGTGTAAATATTCCCACTTTCTGGAATTCCAGCTACTCTTTTGACTACTCTTGGAATTTGGAGATTGCAAGTCTCATGAGCCAATTCTTGTTCTACATTGTATGAAGTAATCTACATAAATCACTTTACCAATTTTTATATCTATAATTGCCCATACAGGAAAATTATATTTTAATGGTTATAGTTTATAAATAATGTTTCATTCCAAAGTGAAATCGAGAATTGGAGGAAACAGTTGAGTCACTTGGCATGCAGCTCCCATTAGCTCAAGTCCTACAGCACATAGGTTTGGTTTCTCTTGCCCTCCCTAAAGCTAAACAGACCCCTTGCCTGGAACAGGTTCATACCAGTTTAGAGGGCTACGTGCATCTGCCCTAGATTCACCTATACCTCATTATAGGCTCATTGTAATCAACCTGCCATCAACCATGACAAGAATCGTTAGACCATAAAAGTATGAAAAGGAACAGTAGCTAGATTCTGGGAAATCTTTATCAACTTCCCAGAAAACCCATGACTATTCTGCCCTTTGTTAGAATGTACTGTCTCTCATGAAACGATCCACATGAAATTAACACAGTTCAGAGCCAGACTGTGTGCTCCCAGAGTGAGGTCACAGTTGTGAAGTGTGCATTTTTCTTCTCCCAGTTAGATGCCTGCTGCTGCTACCCACTCTTCTCTGGTTCTCTCAGGAATCCTTTTTCACAGTGAAGTCATGAACCTGGATCCTGGTGGGAGCCCCTCAATACAAGAGTGGAACCTTAGACATTAGGCCTGTCCTTTCATAGGACTAACACAAGTTCACAACTGGCTGACGTTTTTTCTTGTTCTGTGACAGATTCTTAAACTCAAAATTTTGAACTGTCTACCAGATGGCTGGAGAATGAGGGCCTTCCTTTGTTAGAAGTGAGATTAGAAAGTGTTAGAAATGGAATGAGATAAATTAGAGAACAGGAGCTTTATGGAAGGAAAAAGTTTTGAAAAACAAAACAAGCCAAAACAATGGACACTTTGTTGGGAATAAATGCTTAAAGTTTCTCCAGTCATGCGCTCTCTAATCTGTAACCAAAGAAATGCAAGGACACTCCTTCTGGGGTGGGTTGAAGAGTTCTGTCAAATAAAAAAAGGAAAGATGAAGGATCCTTTGTATGTACTTAAAATACTTAAATCTGCCATTTGGGCTTTTTTTTTTCTCTCTTAATTTTTTCTAACAGAGTGTAAACATTTTGAGATTAAACAGAAAAACAACTTTCTTCCTCAGTGTTAGGTGCTGAAACTCATGACAGATAACTCGGGATAAAGCAGGTGCTCCAAGCTGCAGCACAATTGGCAGCTCACACCAGTCAAGTCTGTGCCAAGTGGCTTCCCCAAGGATTGAAGGGTGTTTGGTGGTATCCCTGGCCTCCGCTCACTACAAGCCAGTGACATTTCCCTCCTCCAACCTTGCCCAACTCTGACAGCCAAAATTGTTTTTCAGATATGGCCAGATGCCCCCTGCAAGGCACTCGTTTCCAACTAAGAACTACTGGGACAGAACATATCATGCCAATAATCTGTTTTAACCATAAAATAACAGTCTGACTTAATAACCGTGGATATGTTCAAAATTATATTCATGTCCTTATTCTCTCTCTCAGGGGGTTTCTAAATATCAATTGATGAGCTTTTTAAATCATATAGTTCTATAACTGCAGATTACAGGAAAATCTACATTGGTCAGACACATTTAAATCATATTGTTGTCTTCATTTACTATACAATAAGAATAAGAATGCACTATATCCTGTGAGTCTATGCAAACACTTCTTAAACACTGTGGGTCATGGTACCTTACCTCTTGCATTGAGCCATTCATAAAAGCTCTTTGTAAAACTTGTCTTTCCAGATCCACCCAATAGATTCTTTCCTCTTTGTAGTGAAAATCCATGATGATTGAGACACCAGCATCCACCACCAGTTGTTCATGATTTGTTCCTTCTGGGTCAATCCTAAAGATGCTATTTCCATGCGAGAAAATTAAGAAGGGTACAGGACCTGAGTGGGGACAAAAGAAAAAAAAGCTACTTATTTTCTATGGTACTTCTGTGATACTTTATCTGATTTGGACAAAATTTTTCTCCCTGACAATCAACAACAGAATTAATATTTAATTCCTGATTCTTAAATTTTAAGTAAAAATTTCTGTAAAATAAAGAGCTCCTAGAGATGTAACAATTAGTTTTTTAAAGTGTCTCCTCCACAAACTAAATATTAGAAATTAGCATTGCTAATTTGTGGAAAATGAACTATTTGAAGAGAAAGTTGGTTTCTTTACTCTCATCTATAAAATGCCTTTTAGTATTTCAAAAGAAACCCTCTATGAAACTCTATTAAGAGGCCACATGAATGTAGACTTTAACTGATTAAATTGGAAATGAAACACAATTGTGATCAATTTGAAGAGGACCTTGTGCTCCTCTCTCCTAACCTATGACTACAACCTTCGGTGTGATGGCATAGAAGATGGTGAAAGCAAGAGAGAGAGAGCTGTCTCAAGAGAAAAAACAAAAAGTATAAATGCTGCCCTGTGTAAGTTCTGAAATATTTTTACTTGGTTAAGCATTGTCACATGAAATACAAGAACCCCGGTTAGAAATGAGCGAATCCCAAAAGGTTAGATACCACATGTTTGCTTTAATTTAACCAGTAATTTCATTTGTTTGTTGGCTTATTTGTTTTTGAACCTGTCATTGATACCGTCTCAATCCATGTGTTGTGAAAAATTGAACTTGCATTACTTTTAACATATTGTTTACTCAATAAAAAAAAAGAACCCCGGTTAAATTTGAATTAAGCCTCTGTAATTCAAAACCCAAAAATCCAAAGTGTGCCACAGTCCAAAGTTCTTGCATGTCTTCCTGATGTGCAAGTGGAAAATTCTACACCTGACCCCAGGTGATGAATTATAGTCAACACTCACTAGGCAACACCAAGGTGTAGGTATTTGGCCCAGTGGTTAAGACAAAAGCATCTTATATTGAAATGCCTGGTTCAAGTCCCAGCTCTGATTCCTGACTTCAGCTTTTTCCAATGCAGATCCTAGGAAGCAGCGAGTGATGCTTTGGGTAGTCATATTCTTACTATTCACGTGGAAGACCTGGATTCAGTTCTATCTCCAGGTCCACTTCTGCCCTCAGACACTTGTGGTCATTTGAGAAGAGAATCAGCACCTGGGAGGGCTCACTTTCTTTTTTTCTCCCCACCACTCAAAAAAATTTTTGACAGACCCAGTGCAATGGCTCAATGGCTTTATCCTCATTTTGCAAGTACCAGCATCACATATAGGTGCCAGTTCATGTACTGGCTGCTTCATTTCCCATCCAGCTCCTTGAATGTAGTCTGGGAAAGCAGCCAAAAATGGTCCAAAGCACTGGAACCCTGCACCTGCATGGGAGACTCAGAAGAAGCTCCTGGCTCATGGCTTCAGATCAGCTCAGCTTTGGTCCCTGCAACTATTTGAAGAGTGTACTAGGTCTTTCTCTCTGTCTCTCCTTCTCTCCATAAATATGATCTGCCTTTCCAATAAAAATAAATCTTGAAAGATTTTCTTGAGAAAAGAAAGCTTATGCATGCTAAAATTTTGGCACAACACTACCTTCAGGATACATGTGTAAAGTGTCTATTAAATATACATGAATTTCATGTTTACACTTGGGTTTCAAGCCCAAGATATCTCATTAAGTATATACAAATATCCCAAAATACAAAATGCTTCTGATCTCGGACATTTTGGATAATGAATATTCAACCCATATATGCATAGTACAAGCAGTGAAAATTATCCTCTGTTTACTTGGAATTTAAATTTAACTGAGTGTGATTGCATTTTTATATGCTAAATCTGCGTGGTGGACCTCACTAAATGTCCTGATTCTTACAGGACTTGCTCAGCATCCTAACCCTGGATCAGGGATTCCACATTGCTCAAGGTGATGGTGAAGTGTCCCCTCGGGTTTCCAGTAACCAGTTTTTTCTTGGGAACTTGTTTCCATCTATAGAAGCCTGAGCATTAATTTCTAGAAGACTCCATGCTCAACTTGCCTTGCATGCTCTGAAGTGACTCAGCCCCATCTCCTATCAAGGCACTGCAGCAAATAGGGTATGAAAGGAGAATCATAACACTTCCATGTTTCCACCTGGATTTACTCCACTTTGCTTTAACTTCAAATTTGAAATCCCAAGATGTTTGTTTTCTTAAGGAATAAGTAGAAAGCCTTGTATTTCCTTAAGAGGATACATAGGGATAGAGATGCAAAAGATTGGGAGAACCGTAAGAGCATGAGAACTTATAGACCTAGACGTAAATGTCCAAGAGAAATAGCTCAAATAGCTCTCCATCTTTGCAACACACAAGCCTCCCTGGTCAAACACATGGCACAGTCCATGCACCATTGACCTCTGGTTATAGAATTACACAGGTACCTTGGATTAAAGAGAAAGGGTCCTGGACAGAGAGCCAGAAGGTTTGTTTTTTAGTTCCAGCTCAGAGACGAGCTGAACACGGATCTCTCCTATTGCATAGCTCCTGAAACACGTGTCAGATTACTGTAGGCTTAAAGGCTGGCTGCCAGGAGTGCTCATTAATACAGATGTCATTCATTATTTATAAAAGGAATAAATGTGTCCAATATATGTTACTATTTTCTAAAACTTCATGACCTGAAACTGAGTGTTCAGCTTTCCCAAAGTACTACTCTTTGCAGGTTTTCCTTGCCTGGGTCCCTATGTCAAGTCATTACTGTAGCCATTCTACTTGAGTAGCTGATTCTAATTCCTATGCTCTCAAAACACAGTTTTTTTCTTTTCATAAACCCTCAGAATTGTGTTATACAAAGCAAAGCCTGGACCGAGTATCTGTAAAAATTATACACAGTATGATCTGAAACAAAATGAGACACTTTTGAGAATTAGGCTTAGAAAAATAGGAATTACTCTGCACCACTCAAAACGACAAGTAAGTCTTCAGGTATTTTTTTTTTAGGACTCTAAAAACGCTGTTGTGCAGTCCAATCTGGGGATGAGAATGTCAGCAGAGTCCTCATGTTTGAACAGCTTATGCCTTCCCATGTCAAAACCTACTGCATTTACTTTGGGTGCAGTTCAGCAAAAGAGAAAAACCTAGAAAATCAAACATCATTGCTAAGGAGCACAAACCCAAAGACAGCAAACAGTTCTGAGCAAATCCACTGGAACCTCTGCCTTCTGGAGCTAGGCATTAGTGGGAGATCTGCAGGCATTAGAAAGGAGTCCAGAATGTTTGGAGACTCCAGTAGAGACTGCAAGGATGTGGAGCCTCTGTGGACTGAAGGTCAATTACAAAGAGCAGGTTTGGACTGATGCGGCACTGGAGGAGTAGACACATAACGTTTCCAAGCCTGCAACCCCTCCTCCCCGTGAAGCTGTGAGAGGAGCCTGAGCAGCTAAATAAAAGAAGTTGATTGTCTTCTGCACACCTCAAGAGCAAAGGCTCATGGGAGCTGTTGAACACCCAAGTGTCACAGCCAGTTTAACCAGGTTCTCCCAGGCCAACACTCCCACCTGCCCCTAAAGTTACAGATTTCTAGCTCTAAATCTGTCAACAGACCAAACACTCACAGAACAAAGAAGGAAAGGGGTTTTTCTGGACTTTAAGATTGCATGCCACCATGAGAAAAGAGAGTAGCTGAAGGGCACCCCCCCACACACTGCTCCTGCCCTGGTTCCCACCAAGAAACTTTCCTGCCACTCCTCGGGATTGGCTCCCATGATATCTTGGATTGTAAAAAATGCAGAGTCTCATTTCACTATGAGAGATTGCCTCATCTCCTTTGTACAGTCATGGGACTTCAAAGGGCACAGATGTATACTTGGGACCAATGACAGCCTTCCTCTTGGCTTATTTGGCTTATTCTCTTTTTTCTTTTAAAGATTTATTTATTTTTACTGGAAAGGCAGATTTACAGAGAGAGATGAGACACAGAGAAAGATCTTCCACCTGCTAGTTCACTCCTCAATGACTGCAATGGTTGGAACTGAGCCAATGCAAAGCTAGGAACCAGGAGCATTTTCCAGGTCTCCTATGTAGATGCAGGGTCCCAAGGCTTTGGGCCATCCTCCACTTTCCCAGGCTGCAAGCAGGGAGCTAGATGGGAAGTGGAGCATCTGGAAGACAAACTGGTACCCATATGGGATCCTGACCCATGCAATGTGAGCATTTAGCCACTAGGCTATGATTCCGGCCCTCTGGCTTAATTTTTAAAGTCAAAATTCAAGTTAAAGGGAGAAGCCAGTTAATTGAGAAACAATACACCCAGAGAGGAACACCAGCAGATTTTGTTCAATGCTGAGCTCAATGCTAATTTCTGGGCTCTTATTATCTCCATAGCCATAAAAAATATATAGAGAAAAAGCCCAAAGAATTGGGAAATTGTGCTATACTTTATCACCAATATAACAAATCAGAATGACAGAATAACCATGGTGATGGTGATCCTTAGGACAAGGCTTGTCCTTTTGAAACCAATTGGATTTCTCTGAGCAAAGGGAAAAACATGAAGCTACTATAGGTATTAGAAAAATCACAAAGCAAAGGTGTTTCAGTTTATGAGCCTTGAGAGAAAGCAATAGCCAATATTTCCCAGGAGCTCTTGTGGTGTCAGACAAGATTCTAAGAATTTCTATTTAATAATTTATTTAGTCTTTGTGACAAGCTGGTGAGGTAGAAGCTTAACAGTTTGCACCAACCAAATAACTGTACCTTCCAAATTTCAAAAGCTGATGCTTAACACAATATGCCACACATAATGTATTGTCTCCTTCATGCAAAGCCAGGCAACAAGCAAGCAAGTGGGGCCCACTGTCCAATACTTATGTAAAGTAGCCATCACAATTCACTGCAGTTAAAATACAGCTTAGGCAGGTGTTCAGCACGGAAGTTGACCGTGCTTGAAACATTCACACCCCACTGCAGAGTGCCTGAGTGGAAGTCTTGACTCCGCTTCTGATTCCAACTTCTATTTATGCATACCCTTGGAAGGCAACAGGTAATGGCAGCATAGGTGAGCCCTTGGCTCTAATATGGGAGTCCCAGATTGAGTTCCCGGCTCCTGCCTCAGCCTGGCCCAACCGTATATAGACATGTTATAGACATTTGGAGAATGAACCTTTCTCTCTGTGTATCTCTTCCTCCTCTTTCCTTCTCTCTTTTTCCTTTTTTTCCATCCACTTAGAGTATCTAAAATTCTAAATAATATTGCTGAAATCTAAGATACACATTTCCTTATATGTAATAAGTTAGCATAAATAAGCAGGAAACTTTACAAGATGCGAACTCCCTTTGTGGTGAAAATGCTATGGCAAAGAATCACCATGTGCTTGGGAGGGAGTGGATCGGCATAACCAGTGTGGCTTGCTACACTCAGGCAAGAGCAGATCTTGCTGATATGGCAAGGGACTGATGCCTAGGCTTAGGGAGGCTCCTGGAAAGCCCTGCAATAGACAACAATAATTTTGCAAACTTTAGGAACAGGAGTGATCTTCAGAAAACTGAAAACAGAGGTACCGTATGATCAAGCTATACCACACCTAAAGAAGGCGAAACAGCACACGCAAGAGTTACCTGCACGCTAATGTTCATAGCAATACAGTTCATAGGTTGTGGAATCAGTTGATGTCCATCAACTGATGGCTGGATAAAGAATATATGACACACACATACAAGATGGAATACTACTAAGTCATAAAAAAAAGTGAAATCTTGATGTTGGAAACAAAATTAATGCGACTGGAGAGTATAATGCTAAATGAAGTAACTCAGATTCAATAAGAAAACTACCACATGTTTTCTTTTGTATGTGATAGTGTGAATGTCATACAATTTTCCCACACTGAATCATATCATGTAAATGACACAAAACAGGGCCTGGTGCGATGGCCTAGCGGCTAAAGTCCTTGCCTTGAACATGCCAGGATCCCATATGGGCACCTGTTCTAATCCTGGCAGCTCCACTTCCCATCCAGCTCTCTGCTTGTGGCCTGGGAAAGCAGTGGAGGACGGCCCAAAGCCTTGGGACCCTGCACCCGTGTGGGAGACCTGGACAAACTTCCTGACTCCTGGCTTCGGATCAGCACAGCACCAGCTGTTGCAGTCACTTGGAGAGTG